TCTCTGCTCACCAATCCCTCACTCCCCCCTGGATGAAAATTTTCTTGCTGTACTCACCCAATTCCAGCACCGGCACTGGGTCAGTGCTCTGACTTCTCCAATGTTACTTGACGGGGGGGGGGCAGGGCCAGATTAAGAGCCCAGTGGGCCTGGTGCTGACAATTATGACGGGCCTAATTACAGAATCATATCAACCAAAAACAATAAAACACTCCGAAGCATCATGTATTTGATGGAGATGGTGCTGGAGAGAAAGAAAACAGCAGCTATAAGAAAACACATACTCTAGGTTGATCTCGCTCTAATTTATGTTTTCATCTTTCAAGTAAATCCATAACCCCTAACAGCAGTGTCCAGTCAAGCAGGAAGTCAATGGGCATGGTAAAAGGGTGTGCCACTGACACAAATCACGTGACCTGCCAAAAGGGGCGAACATGCCCATAAAGAGGACATGTCTGCTCAAAGAATTAGATGGCCAGCCTGGCATGAATGCATGTCAGGCTGCCTGCCAATCATGCAGCTGGCCAACTAAGGGGATACTATGCAGACAGCACCCTGAGCTTGGTATAAATGCATCTAATTATGCGCTCACTCAACGCTTTCTAAGGACTGTTCCCTAGCACTCGCTGGTCCACTTGTCTTCTTACCTTCTTACTAGCAGGCAGAAGCTCCTGGTATATAGTCTGGGACAGAGAAAAGCTGTATGTAGTGAGTGTAGAAGAAATGGAACATGCCACAGTGTTAGAGAGACCAAAGTCAGCATTACCTTAAAGGATCACTATAGGGTCAAGAACACAAACATGAATTCATGACCCTATAGTGTTAACACCACCATCTAGCCCCCCTGGGCCCCTCATGCCTCCATAAATATAGCAAAATCTTACTATATTCAAGCCTGAAGCTGTAACTCTGCATGCTGTTAGACTCATAAAAACAAGCAGTCTGCTGACATCATTAGAAGTGGTGGCCTGATCCAATCACAGTGCTTCCCCATAGGATTGGCTGAGACTGACAAAGAGGCAGATGAGGGTCAGAGCCAGCATGATTCAAACACAGCCCTGGCCAGTCAGCATCTCCTTATAGAGATGCATTGAATTAATGAATCTCTATGAGATAAGTTCAGTGTCTGCATGCAGAGGGAGTAGACACTGAATGTTTGGATGCATGTTAGGCAGCCATGACCCAGGAAGGATCTCTAACAGCCATCTAAGGAGTGGCCAGTGAAGTTATCACTAGGCTGTAATGTAAAGACTGCATTTTCTCTGAAAAGACAGTGTTTACAGCAAAAAGCCTGACGGTAATGATTCTACTCACCACATACACATACATTCTACTCACCAGAACAAATTCAATAAGCTGTAGTTGTTCTGGTGACTATAATGTCCCTTTAACTATATTCATTGTCAGCCAGTCCACACAAGTTTTGTTCCCATACATCCCTCTTAAGTTTCCATACTTAAGTAAGAGTATGTGAAAAGTAGTTAGGGTTGCCACCTTTCTTGGAAAAACATACCGGCCTTACTAATTTGCATAATTAAATATGTATGGGTGACATCACATGATGTAAATCAGAAGGACTGACATAAGAGAAAATTCTGTAAAATCACCAAAAAACTACTTAGTTTGATTCCTCCCAGTGCCCCCATGTCTCCCAGATTACTCCAGGGCTCAGTGTTCCTATGTATCACAGTGTCTCAATGCCCCATGTGTCCCAGTGCCCTCATGACTCAGTGCCCCCATGTGTCGATTACTCCAGGGCTCAGTGTTCCTATGTATCACAGTGTCTCAATGCCCCATGTCTCCCTGTGTCCCCATGTATCCCAGGGTCCCCATGTCACTAGGACACTAGGAAGATGGGGAGACCTGGGGACACAGGGAGACCTAGGGACACAGAGACACCAGTGAGACTAGGGGACTCTGGCTGGGACACATGGGGACAATGGGGAAATAGGGGACACTTGTAGACATGGGGACACAGACACCAGGGCCACAGACACGAGGGACACTAGCTTGGAGACATAGGGACATTGTGACACTTGAGGCACTGAGAGACATGGAGGCACTAGGAGACATGGGGACAGTGAGACACTGGCAGACTGGGGGCACTGGGAGACTAGGGGTCACTGGGAGACTAGGGGGCACTGAGACACTGGCTGGTAGACATGGGGACACTTAGTGTCTCAGTGTATGTCTCCTTGCAGCCTTTCTCCCCATCCCTTACTTCCCTGAGCTGTAGGCTGTCTCTGCAGGGTGGGAGTTGCTGTCTGGACTCTCTGTAGCTGCACCCCTGCAGATCAGTGAGTATAGATAGGCAGGGAGGGATATGCTGGAACTTCCTATCCCTGCCTGTCTCCACACACACAGCGACCCCTACTGGCCAGTGCTGGTATTGCAGAGTAATCTCCATTTATACTGAGAAAAATACCAGCATTTATATTGCCAGTATCACTGCAATATTGGCACCAGCCAGGAAGCCTCAAATACTGGCTGTACCAATAAAATAAAAGCCAGGTGGAATCCCTAAGAGTAGTGTGTGGGGAAAAAAAAAAAGAATTTTTTTTTTTTTTTTTTAAATCAATGGGCCTATTCCATGGGCCTGGGCCTGGAGCTGCAGCTCCATCAGCCCCTATGTTAATCCGGCCCTGGGGGGGGGGGGTATGCACATATGCACAAGTGCCTTAGGTCCTCCCCATAGTAAAGCATTGCTATGGGTATTTAACTGAAGCTGGATCTTCTCATGCAGAGTGTGAAGATGTCCAGCCTTAGTTAAGCGACCTTAAGTCGCCTAGCCACCAGGAAGTGCCTCTAGTGGCTGTCTGATTGACAGCCATTAGAGGCAGTCTTAGTCCTGCAATATAATCAATGCAGTTTCTCAAAAACTGCAATGATTTACATTGCAGGACTGAGACGGACTGGAGCAGTGCATCTTGGTCACTTCAATGAGCTGAAGTGGTCTGTGTACCTATAGTGTCCCTTTAATTGGTCATAGAGGTTAGAGTAACCCCCTAGTGGAGTAACCAGCAAAAATGATTAATATATATATTTTTTACTAATGCCCTACTTTTGCCCAGAACACAATAATAGCACATTGGGGGAGATATGTCAAAGTGTTACAATTAGTTAGCGACATCTCTACTATTAGAATGTTTTCTGATAACAGGCCTTCAATTAATCTCCTTCAGTATTTTATCATTCAAAGTATTTCCTTCTCTGAGATTGGTTAATGTTTTTTTTTTTTTTAAGCAAAATATTTAAATTTTTATTAAATGTATTTTTTATTTTTTCACTCACTGCAAATAAAATAAACTAATATTGCATTTTTATGTTTACCTTCATTATTTTATAACTGTTAATAAAGGATCAGCAGTGATGGTGTCATTTCATTTTTCCTCCAAAAAATTAGCAGCAAAAGATTTACAAGTAGTTCCCAAAGTACTCAAAATTGAAATTAAATATCAGAACAGAAAACAGGGAGAATGATTTACGTTATTGTTTTAACTTGCTTTGTTGATAGTTCCATTTTGCTTAATATATTTTTAATGTAGCTGTCATACCTGCATTGACAGTATGCATGTAAGTTGATGCACAGACGTATCCAGATGGGCAGGTCGCACAGTACCCAACGCAGGTTGTGGAACTACACGAAGTACATTGCAGACTGGAAGAAGAAGCTAGAAGATATTTATGGATATACAACAGATAACAACATGAATGAAAGATCTAAATCTCTTTATCAAATCAATTCACAAAATGTTTGATTTCACTGCCTACATGTTAGTGACATAGAACCCCAAAGTTTTAGACAATGTAAGAGTTATAATAACAGATATAATAGCTTGTCCTCCTAAGACAAGATAATTAGCTATGTTATTATTTATTTAGGGTCCAAATCCCTTTGCTCTTCTCGCTAAGCAGTTTGTAATGTTTTTATACATATAGGTATTCCTATCAACAAATCTGAGTTAGATGCAGTGTGTTTGATCCTATGGCATTGATAGAGGGATGAGGGCCCCCCAAGATTGCTCTTTGCCGTGGTGATAGCCACTAACAAAACTTGGCAGTTTAGGCATCTGTCTACCCACAAGGCAGGTGCATACTCAGTCCAAGATATGTGTCTTGTCTGGAATTGGGGGGGACAGAGGGTGAGGACGTTTTTTACTAGCTTGCTTCCTTCCCTTATGTGCCCTGCAGTGGGCCATTAGCCACCATATGATATCTTATTATCGGCAACACAATAGGGCACACATTAGACCCATGCAGGGAGAGCACAGTGATCCAACCAGCTCCACTGGCCAGACACTTTTACTGCTTGGGATTTATACTCCCCTAGCAACATGCTGCATTATTGCGATTGTCTGAATTGATCAAATTTATCCAAATCTATTTTTATTTTGTAAATAGATTTTCTAGAAACGTATTACAAATGTTTTTTTTTTTAAATCAGATTTGTGTATGAAGTGAGCAAGTATACCTGAGACTCCACATAAAATTTTATTAGAGCAATAAAAATTTGTGAAAAAAATAATGAATTTAATGATCTTTAATAACTGGGAAAATTGAGTTTTTCTTGGTAATGAGCCAAGGTATAAACCTTGTGCTGAATTGACCCAAAGTTGGAACTGGTTTTATCATTAGTGCGCAGGCTCATGAGCCTTGTAATAATTCTAACCCGATTTTCAACATCTAGACTGTATCTGGAGTTTAAATAATAACACTGTTTAATAGAACACAGACAAATATTTTTATCTAGGAATTCTAACAATTTTCATATAATGAATAATAAGCACAAGAACCACTTATAACTGAAGCAAATACATATTCTTAATATTTTTAAATACAAGAACTATTTAATACAATTTAATAGCACACAAAGTATAAAGAGAGATAAACTAAGGTAGCAATAATCTCATGATTTTTTTTTTTTTGTAAAAGATGATCTAATTGTAATACAAGTAAAAGAATGAAAACTCAATTCTACAAATAATATATTAAAAAATTACCTTTAGATAAAGAAACGAGTACAAACAGAGACCCCAGAAATAAGTGCATGGTCAAAATGTGTAAAATATTGTACAGGTTCCTTGAAATAATGACAAACTGTTTTCATAATATTTTGAAACAGGGTGGATCCTAGAGCTTCCAGCCCTTGAATATTTAGCCAAAAAGAAATTCATTATGAAGAAAAAGTGGGTGGAGGGATTGCTCTCCCACTTATCATCATAATGGGCTGGATTCTCTAAGCAGAGTAAGGTCTTATGCTACTTACCAAAGAGATATTTATATGTTTATGGGAACAATGCTATTTAGTAAGCAGGGATATACTAGTCCCAAAATTTGGAGAACCCATCCCAAAAGTTTGCCAGATAATGACATATTTTCTTGCTTGTTTCTTATATGTTAACCTTTAGTTGCCTGTATAGTCAAAAGGAGATGAAGCTTGTGATAGTTGCCTTATATCAAGTAAAAGAAAGCTTACAATTTAATAATTTTTTTTAAAACATTTTTTATTTTTTTTTATCAAGTTCTCCAACAGTCTTTAGGATGTTTTTTCTTTTTAATATTAATTTATTCCATTTATATTAATGTATTTAATAATATTTATTTAAAAAAAAATATTTAAAAAAAAGCTTTCAATTTAACCGCTCATAAAAAGAATCTTTATTGACCTTGTTTAGGTGTGCAAGAACTCAGAAAGTAATATTAAAATGGCATCAGGGTAAGTGTGAGCCCCAATCTGCCAAATTAATTAAGTCATACACACCTTATATAAAATGATACATTTTAGAGTTTAATTAATTGAAAATGTGGGGTTCATCCCTGGGAAACCCTTTAAAGAAAATGTTATTCATTTTTCTTTTTTCTCATCATATCTAAATAAAACATGTACATAAAACATAGTATAATTTTGAAGGTATCGCTTTTTAAAGTGTACATTGTGTGCTTCACACAGTTTCAAAATATTACAATTAAAATCTTCATTAAAATCTTAGATTCATCTTGTTTGCTATGTGCAGATTTATATAGAATGCAATATTAATGCAAATTTAGTAAAGATTGACAAGGAAGTATAACTTGTTAAATAGTTTCAGTATAGTATGCCCCGGTCACTCCACCCAGCAACCACCGGGAGCCGCGTGGGAGGAAGGAGAGGAGGGAGTCAGAGTGGGAAAAAGAGAGACACCAGGGAAGGGGGGGACAAAGAGACAGAGGGGTAATAGAGAGACACAGAGAGGGGTAATAGAGAGACACAGAGGAAGGGGGGACACAGAGACAGATGGGGTAATAGAGAGACACCAAGGAAGGGGGGACAAAGAGACAGAGGGGTAAGAAAACTTGGCAACTTGCTCAAGGTTTGATTGTACAGCAAGGTGAGTCACACTCTTTAAAAAAATGAAGACACAAGATCTCTCTGCAGGTCTCCCTTGCGAAGTGTGAAAACATGCAGTAACTGGTTGTCTATACAATAGACATGTGCATTCCTTTTCGTACAAATACAATTTAGTCCGAAATTTTGGACTTTTTCGTATTCGTTTACTAAAACGTAAATTAAAGTCCTACATACGAAATATAAACGAAACGAAAGGGCAAATGCCAAATGCGTTACCTTTTTGTTTCATTTCGTTTAATAGACTCTTAAGGTTAGGTTAATTCCCTTGCAGCACAGAGGAGGAACAGAAATCACTGGTTCTCCCTGCAGCCTGAAACTTAACCCATGCAGGGCTGCAAGGAGACTCTTACAAGCACGGGTTAAGCGACTTTTAGGTTAAGATAATGTACCTTCTGTAGGCTCGTTAATTATGAAGGGTGCATTTTTTATCTTCTTTACTTTTATAAATAATTCATTCTATATTGCTCTCTTTCAAACTGCAATGTTTCCCTTTTTGCTGCAAAAATACAGATAGATATGATCAATCATGATACCATTAAATAAGACAAGAAACACTGTCTGATTTTATAAGTTTTTATTGCTAATATATTATGGATTTCTGCTTATTACAATAGATCAACAATCATTTTTTTATAATTACATTTTATTTGCATTCATACAACAACAAAGAAATCAATGATTGACTTATTCATTTGTGTTTACATATATTTTCAAGACTGTTGGTGGACTGAAACATTGACATGATTGATTGGTGTTTTACACTGAACTAATACAAGCAAGTATTTCAGTTTCAAAGTCCTTCTCAGTGTACTCTTTCTGGAAATTCTATTACACAGAATTTATGCTTTGCACCAAGGCAGGAACAAGACCGAGAGATCAAGTGCCACATTCAAAAAGAACAAAGATTTATTGTAGCGTTATTGACAGTAATCCATTACAGTTAATCATTCTAAAATTAAACTCTCTAATAGAAACATAGAAACATAGAAACATAGAATGTGACGGCAGATAAGAACCATTCGGCCCATCTAGTCTGCCCAATTTTCTAAATACTTTCATTAGTCCCTAGTCTTATCTTATAGTTAGGATAGCCTTATGCCTATCCCACACATGCTTAAACTCCTTTACTGCGTTAACCTCTACCACTTCAGCTGGAAGGCTATTCCATGCATCCACTACCCTCTCAGTAAAGTAATACTTCCTGATATTATTTTTAAATCTTTGTCCCTCTAATTTAAGACAATGTCCTCTTGTTGTGGTAGTTTTTCTTCTTTTAAATATAGTCAATTTGTGTTAATCCAGATATATATTATTCTATATATTAGTCAAATGTTGGTAACTCAGAATTGGTATTGCAAACATAGCTGATATTAGCCATAACGCTAGGCAATATTATATGTTCCTGCACATCTACTGAATAGCTAAATTTCTTTACCATTGTACAAAAAAAGATTTAATCAGCAAAAGTGAAGCCGCTATAGTGAATTTCATTCCAGAACGGGTGATGGTTTCACCACTATTGCAAGTAAATTCCAGACCTACGGTTACACCACCCCCTGAGACATAAAAGGAACTAATATCACATAGAATGCGGGTCCCACAACCATAATAAGCTTCTTTACCTTCCTGACCTCCTGTAAAAAGAAAGAAAAAAAAAAGTTAACATAATAATCTAATTACTGAGACATTGGGCTGGAAAACAAAAGTAATTCACAAAAAATAACTTAACAAGCTGTTTTTTTAATTTTTTTGCCTTAATTGCAACTTTTTTGCTTTACAATCAAATTAGAAAGAAATACAGGTAGACATACTGGTTAATAGACAGGCAGACAGGACAGACAAAATGACAATATAGTTACATAGTCCGGCAGACAGACAAATACAAACAAACAAATACATCAAACTTAACCCCTTAAGGACCAAACTTCTGGAATAAAAGGGAATCATGACATGTCAGACATGTCATGTGTCCTTAAGGGGTTAAAAATGGACGGAAATACAGATATCTAGGTAGATAGAGAGATGGTGAGATAGATGGAAAGACTGATCTATCAGATGGATGGACAAATTGATTGTTAGAAATACACAAACAGGCACACAAAATAGAGGGCTTTGGTGCATAAGTTTGGATTTGAATTCTGAACCATACTGTTTTTATGTAAGTATGTATGTATATATGTATTTATTGATTTCTAACATAGTGATATTTATTCGTCAGTTAAATTCTTTATATGTTTGTCCTCAGCTTGAGAATAATTTGATTTACTGTAGTGATAACCTGGTTCAACTTAAATTTGGTTTTATTTTTCCCATTAAAGGGACACTCCAGGCACTCAGACCTCTTCTGCCCATTGGAGTGGTCTGGTGCCAACTCCCATCACCCTTAACCCTACAAGTGTAATTATTGCAGTTTTTATAAACTGCAATATTTACCTTGCAGGGTTAAGTCCTCGTCTAGTGGCTGTCTATTAGACAGCCACTAGAGGGACTTCCGGCTTCTTAAAACATGAAAAGTGTGTCATACGATGGTGGACGTCCTCACGCTATGCATGAGGACCTCCAGCATGTGCATTAGGTCTCCCCCGCCGGCTGACGTTGGCAGGGGAGAAGCGTGGGCAGAGCCTGACCCAGCACTGAGGGACATCGGCGCTGGATTCAGATAAGTCACTGAATGGGGTTTTAACCCCTTCAGAAACATGAGATGGGGGATGGGAAGGAGGGGAGCACTGGAGGATTCTGCAGTGCCAGGAAAACTGATTTGTTTTCCTGGAACTGGAGAGTCCCTTTCAATTCAAATAATAAAAAGAATCTAACTATTGCTAACTATTCATCATTAACATCATTAAAGGGACACTTTAGGCACTAGAATCATGCAATCTGATTAAATTAGCTATATAGCATCTGGAGTCCTCTAGCAATGTCCCTCAATTCAGTGTTAAACCACCATTTTCCAGCAGTTTAACACTATATAAGGCTCCTTGGCTGCCCACAACCTGGTATCTACTAGAAGAATGGACAGGGCAGAGATTAGACACTTCCTTCTAGCCATACAAAATGATGCCATCAATGAATGCTGAAACAGGCTGAAAGAAGTCTGCTGACACTCTCAGCCAATCACAGCCACCCACTGCTGCACAGGCTAATGCTTTGTTATTTGGATAAATCAAAAGACCACCCAAGTGCAGCAATATATTAAGGATAAACATTAATTACTTCCCTTTAGATCTAGGCTGTAACAAAGGATTCCTCAAATCCCAAATAAACAAAACAAGATACACCTAGAAAAAAACAAAAGCAGAGAACATTCATAGGGAAACACCGTTTAGTAGGAATGTCCCTGCTGTAAATATTGCACTCACAGAATAAAGGAGTAATTCAAACCCATCGAGGACATACGTTATCCATATTGTTTTGTGGTGTGATAACTGTTTTTGTCTTGATTGCTGACATGGATTGAAATCTCAACATTTGCCAGCCTACTAATGTGTTTCTGTATGTTGATAGTTATTGTGTTTGTAGAATGGAACTCTTTAGGCATTTTTATACACATTGGTCTTTACAAACAATTTCGTTTGGATATATGTGGGCTTAGTATGTTTATACATGTTGTAACTATTATTTGATACATATTTATACATATTTTTGTATTTCTTCGCTCCCTATTTTTCTTTTTCCTTTTTTTTTTTCGTCTGGTGCCGCGAGTTGCTTGAGTGGAACGCATATGCGTTCCAGCCGCCGATAGATGACGCATTGAGAGGGACGCGTAGAGAAGGAAGATCTCTTCCGGATCGGTGGAATGCATGTGCGTTCCACATTAACTAGGCGGAAGTCCATATATGGAATTGGACGCGAGAGCACTCAGAACACGTGTTATGGAGCACACGGATTGGTGGACAGGGCGTGGAATACGACGAGAGGGACTTTTAAAAGAAGACAGAAGACATAGGACTTTTATTGATGTATTTTACTTGATTGTATTATATGTTTTATTATTACCTCTCCTGATGAAGTCTATTGTATAGACGAAACGCGTAGAGCTGTGTTGATTTTTGCCTGCAATTCCTGTTACCTGCTTCTTCCATTTACCACTCTGGAGAGAGGGATACAGACCTTTGATGGGCATTTTTATTTTCCACTTCTTGTAAGTGTTTCAATAAAAGCGTGTTTTATATTATTAAGATTTCACACTATGTCCAGTTCTCCTTTTTTTGCATGTACCCTTGAGGAATTTCATTGCAAGAGCTAAAGAAACCTTGATGGGTTTGAATTACTCCTTTATTCTGTGAGTGCAATATTTACAGCAGGGACATTTCTAAACAGTGTTTCCCTATCAATGTTCTCTGCTTTTGTTTTTTCTAGGTGTATCTTGTTTTGTGTAATGCTTTGTTATTAGCAGATGCCCAGCGGAGAGGATGGGCTGCTAAGGACACTTTTTTTGTATTAATACATTAAAAACTGATAAACACTTAATGGAAGAATGGTGCCTGGAGACTCCAGAAACTTTAACTTAATCAACGAGATGAAGCATTTACAGTGTCTACAATATCCCTTTAATATCTGATGTAGAAAATATATAATAGCCCCACCTTGTGTTTAAAATAGAATTTGCAGTATCTGATTCTTGGCAATATTAATATAGGTTAATAATCTCCGGTCACTAACTTTTTAATAGGTTCCAATTTGTTTTTATTTTCCATTCATATGTGGCCAACTAACATGCTACTCCTGAGTTACCTCAATGAGTTACCATTTTTAAACTATTCTTCTACCCTTTGATTTCGTGGGGGCAGATCGGGGTTTGTTAAATTTTTTTTGTTTCAGAGTGCACACATTCCAGAAATCTTTACTCCAAGCAGTAAGAGGTTGTTCCTAGAGAGCTTTAATATCTACTAATGCATCCTGCATCCTGCGTTAACCCTTTGCAAGTTTAAACATATTCATAGTTTAGTGTCCATGGATCAGAATCAGAGGCTCCCGATTGGGCATACCACATCCTGGTGAAGATCAAGTTTGATTATGCAATGTATATATATTTCTACATTATGAAGAAGCTTTAAAGTGACACTATAGGCACCAGAATAACTAAAGCCTAATGCATTTTTCCTGGCTAATCATGGCAGCATTTAACATATGGGTTTAGCTCCTCCCTCTAACTCTCAGGACAGGAAACAATTAAACAATTAAGCATACCTTCCCCTGGTATAATAAGAACCCCATCAGCCATCACACCTCTTTCTTTTTCCTGTCCTCATAACTGCTTCCGCAAGGGAGTTTATGAAGCTCCTAGGTACCAGCTCAGAGGAATGGGAAAGACAGATTCACATTCCTCTCGATCTGAAAAGGAAGCTTTGGTGGTAGCTGAAAGAGGAAAACATTTCCAGAGGTTTTCCTGTGAAAGAAATCGACTGGATAGTCATCACGACAGATGCCAGTCAGTACGGATGGGGAGCACATCTGGGAAAATCTTTCATCCAAGCAGAATGGCCTCAGAGGGCTCAGAACCTGTCTTCAAATATAAGGGAGTTGAGAGCGACATCTCTGGCTCTTCTCCACTTTCAGCACCAGATAAAGGGAGCCTGGGTGAAATTAAGAGTAGACAACAAGGCGGCTGCCGCCTATCTCAACCATCAAGGAGGCACCAGGAGTATCTCGCTGATGAAAGAAGTGACCGCAATCATGAACTGGGCACAAATACATGTGGAAGGCCTGCGTGCGGTCTTTCTCCCAGGAAAGGAGAATGTGTTAGCAGACTTCCTCAGCAGACACCAGGTGGAAGCCACGGAATGGCATCTTTCAAGGCCTGTGTTTCAACAATTGGTCCAGAGGTGGGGTCTTCACCAAGTGGATCTCATGGCGATGGCTCAGAATGCTCAAGTCCCTTGTTTTGTATCCAGAAAATTCCATCCGAAAGCACTGGATCAAGATGCTCTTTCAATGAAATGGCCCTTTCATCTGGTGTATGTTTTTCCCCCCCATTCGTCTCTTTCATGCTGTGCTGAGGAAGATTTCCAGAGAACGTTGCAGAGTGATTACTGTAATTCCCTTCTGACCAGGACATCCTTGGTTTCCTCTTCTGAAGAGGTTGGCGATAGAGGAACCTTGGGAAATTCCAGTCACAGAAGATCTCCTGACACAAGGCCCAGTGATTCATCCAGAACCTTACAAGCGCAGGATTCATGCATGGCTGCTTAAAGGCAATCCTTAAAGGAACAGGGTTTATCTGACCAGGTGGTCTCTACCCTGTTAGGTTCCAGAAAGATCTCCACTTCCTCTACCTACAACAGAATTTGGGAAGCCTTTGCGATATGCTTAAATTCAACCGTGCAAAGTCCTCCTACGATCTCTCAAGTCTTGGGTTTCCTACAAGCTGGCCTGGAGAAGGGTCTTAGTCTTAACACTCTTAAAGTGCACTGCTCAGCTATCTCTGCTCTTTCTGACATTCGATGGGCACTTCATTCTATGGTGGTTCGCTTTTTCAAGGCTGTTTTATGTATTAGACCTCCTATTAGACAACTGGCGGCTCCTTGGAATCTGCCTCTGGTGCTTCAGGCTCTCACAGATCCTCCCTTCGAACCTATTGGCGAAATTCAGATGCACATGCTTTCTCTGAAGAACCTATTATTGCTGGCTCTAGTCTCAGCTAGAAGGATGTCTGACATCAGAGCTTTTTCAGCCGAGGAACCTTACACTTCCTTCTTCGATGATAAGGTCATTCTCCGCCCGAGACCTGAATTTCTTACCAAGGTGGTTACACCTTTCCATCTCCAACAGGAGATTGTCGTGCCTGCCTATTTTCAGCATCCTTCTACTCCTGAGGAGTCAAGGTGTCACATGCTGGATCTTAGGAGATGTTTGATGATGTATATAGAACGCTCAGCTGCTTGGAGAAAATCCTCTCAGTTATTTCTTATACCTTGGGGTTCTCGTAAAGGGGAAGCCGCTTCTGTCTCCACTCTTCATTCTTGGACATTATATGTGATTTCCAAGGCTTATAAAGTTAGGAATGTTCCTGTTCCCAAAGGCATCAGAGCTCATTCCACAAGATCCATTGCTACCTCAAGGGCTGCAGAGTCAGGTGTTCATGCAGAGAGCATATGTAAGGCTGCAAATTGACTAAAGACCTTTGTGAAACACTACAAAGTGGATGTGGCTTCTCGCTCGGATTCAGAGTTTGGCCTCTCTGTCCTGAACTCCTTTAACCCTCAGAGATGATTTATTTATTCAACTATTTTGTAGCATGTATTTCCCTCCCTGTGTCATTATTGCTTGGGGAATCCCATATGTTAAATGCTGCCATGATAAGCCAGGAATACGGAAAATGTATTCATACTTACCCTAATTTTCTTTTCCTGGCTGTCATTCATGGCAGCATTTCGTTTTCCCACCCTCTTTTGGATATTCGTCTTGTTACTTGACTGAGGTGTTATGGCTTATGGGGTTCCTATTATACCAGGTGAAGGTATGCTTAATTGTTTAATTGTTTGTGTTTCCTGTCCTGAGGGAGGAGCTAAACCCATATGTTAAATGTTGCCATGAATAATAACCAGGAAAATAAAATTACGGTAAGTATGAATAAATTTTCCGTAATTCTGATTAGAAAAGGCAGTGTTTGCATTGCCTCCTGTTACCACCTCCAGTGGTTGCCACTTGGACAGTCACTAGAAGAACTTTCTGGTTGAGTTCCTACAAACAATGCAGGACCAGCTTTTAGTATCTTCACACATTGCATGGAGACGCTGTCCTTTTCCTATAGAGATACACCGAGTCAATGCATTGATTGCTATGAGAAGATGCTGATTGGTGCAGCTCATGTGCTCTAGCATCCAAATTCTTCCCTACATGAAAGTATTGGGTTCGCTGAGATCAATATTGATTATTATTAATGAACTCAACAAGTGGAGGCAGGACGACTGCAGCTAATAAAGGCAAATAAATTGGATCAGTTATCGTGGTGGTGGGTGGAGGGGGGTGATGGAATGTGAAATGATCTAAATAATGATACCAATACTGTTAGGAATACATTATTGCATTCCTAATGCTACAATGTTCTGTTAAAGTTATTTAAATTTCAGATTATAGTTTTAATTGCATATTTTAAGTAATATTGTACTATATAATGAACCAAGTGAAAAACATTTATGTAATATTATAATTCTGATAATTTATAAAGCGCCAAAATATTCTGTGGCACTTTACAATATTTTATCATTGGTTGAGACAATTACATGTTCCGGGTGTCCCTCCGATTCCTCTTTTACACCATAGCAATTGTTTGGATAGCTAAATAAATAAAGTAATTCTGTATACAGAATAATCATCCAGGAAAAAAGGCATATTTTAGGAACAAAGCTTACCTGTCACTTGCTTCCTTAGTTGAACACATGTATTTTCATTCCCAGTACATTGCAGAGCAGATGAAGGATTGCAAGAAGTATCAATTAAGGATGAGCAGGTTTTACATTGATATCCATTTGGTCTGGTATTAAGCACTGGTTCTGCAAGGTATGATGAAAGCATTAATCAGTTATAGAAGAGGTGGGTTACCAGGCAGTAACAATTACCCACAGGCATTAGTATAGTAAAGAATGTGGGCTTAGTGAAGTCTAAAACACTATGGCTGCCTGTGCTCATTTGCATGTCAAGCAGGGAACTCTGGGATATTTGTGGAAACAAATTTGTCACCAGTGATATTTATATATATATATATAATAGTTATTTTCTTATTTGTTAATTTATTGGAATACTAATAATAATATATACTTGTTTTATTATTATTATTATTATTATTATTATTATTATTATTATTTAAAAGTAATTATCTGTGCTCGACAGTCCATGAGCTGCCATGGTTAGATCATGAAAAGGTTAAGACAGGTTACTGGGCATATTTCATTGCAGTTAATACATACAGGTTAGGGGCTGAGGTGAGCTGCAAGGCATAGACTAAATGTATCATGAGACATAGGGCGCAGTGAGAAACAGGGGTGGACATTGTGATGTGTAGTTCTAGTGAAGCTTCTCACATGATCAATTTCTGAACAAGCTCCGGCACTAGCAGAGCAAAGAGTAGAGTACCACCCGCCTCTGCCCACCATTCTCATATTGTAATTGCGTTCTTTTATGTTGTTGTGTTTTATGAATGGGGTTAAGAAATCTCCACTATAAGATATGAAAACAATGTATATGGGTTGGATCAATAGTCAATACTATTGGTGATTAATGCATATCTATATAATTCTTGTAGGATGTGTAGCAGTTAATGACAGATGTGGACATTACAGTAGTTCTACTTCTATAAGATTGTCCATACCTGTATTTTGAAGGTCTTATAAACATGTTTAAGGGCTAGTCACTAAACTGAATTTATTAATAATTAGCAATGGACTTGCAAAATCATGGTTAAAATAACCAAATTTTAAGGAACAATCTTCATCGCAGTTATTATTCCAGCTCAACTACTTTTATCTAATATTTGGAATTCTTCAGCTGTTAGTTCAGTAAAAAATGCTTGACATGTCGCTCACTTAACATAACTGCCTGAGATAATTTTACTGCTTCCAAACTCAAAGAAAAGCTTATACTACTTAAATGACCACTATAGGCACCCAGACCACTTCAGCTCAATTCAGTGGTCTATGTGCCAGGTAGCCCTGGATTTAACTCCACAGCTGAAAGCATAAAGGTTTCGGATAAACTACTATGTTTTCATAGAGGGTTACTCCTGCCTCTAGAAGTGCTTCCGTGATTCTTAGTTAGAGATGTCGAGATGAAGCTGCCTTCAACATGGATGCTGTCCAGGAAGTAGAAGGGTCTGGGAGGGAGGGTCTGCTGGAGATTGGCCAGGATGTGTCAGCTGACCGGAGTTCGCCACGAACGGTTCGTGGCGAACCGTGGCGAACCGTTCGCGAGAAGTTCGCGGACAGTTCGCGACATCACTATTCTTAGTGTGAAAATCAGACTGAGATGATGCTGACGTCCATAGGAAAGAATTGAGTAATGCTTTCCTATGGGCTTTTTGAATGTGCGCGTGACTCTGGCCACGCATGCGCATTCGGAGCTGATATCGGTAGGGGGAGGAGAGATCACCAATGCTGAGGGAGCCTGGCTCTGGATTAAGGTAAGTGGCTGAAGGGTTTTTTTTTTTCAGCTCAGCGGGAGAGGGGCCCTGAGGGGGAAGGGGGGGATTTAATAACCCTATAGTGCCATGAAAATTAGTTTGATTTCCTGGCACTATAGTGCTCCTTTAAACCATGTATAGACATGGTTTATGTATAGACATGTTTTAGGATAAGGCCAGGGACTAATGAAAGTATTTAGAAAATTGGGCAGACAAGATGGGCCGAATGGTTTTTATCTACCGTCACATTCTATGTTTCTATGTTTCTATCTAACCGAGCCAGACGGTAAAGGTTCAATCCACTGCCCAAATTAAAATATATAAATAAAAATCAATCCTTAGTTGGTATTCTACCATTTAATTATACATGTTTCATTGGTGGTATATCTGAAAACAGTCTGCAAAAGCTACACAGCTCTTGTCTGCAACATTTGCAAGCCCTCCCTTTCTACCCCAGCCCAGACTTTCTGTGACTGTCCAATTACAGGCTTCCCAATGCAAATAAAATAAGTATTGTGCTCTGTGCAATTGCTGATGTGGAGCTAACCCATAAGTGATGCTACCATGATTAGCCAGGAAACCTTATTTGTAGATTTAATACATTATTTACTGACTTAATATCTAAATTGTTTCCCCCATTCAAAGTTATGCTACCCATTTAGCTGTAAAGACATTTAAGATCAATCTGCCTGACTTTTCATTCACTATAGGATAAATAACATATAGATAGACACTTACCGGCAGGTACTGATGGAGAACAGTAATTGGATGAACAACAAGTGGTCTGCATAAAGATTTCTGCACCATAATAGCTCATACTGCCTTGGACATTACATTTGTTTGTTGGTGCACATGATCTAACAAGATCTAGAACTTTGCTGCCATCTGAGGATATTATATTAAAATTACTATTAAAATATGTAATACAACAGCACAAAACAATAAATAAATAAAATCTTAAATGGCACATTTTTTTCACATTAAATAAACCTATATTGTATCCAGAAATGGATTACAGGGTTCTACAATTCAAGGTTAATACCATGCTGTGTTATAATGTACATCTTCTATGTCAAAGTCACTACTATGGTCTGGGCACATGGCGTCCTGTTACATGTCTGCCTATGAACTGTCAATGTGTTACCTTAAGCTGAATGTATTAAATTTAGTTGTACTCAATATGCATTTGCGACACAACACTTTACAACAGGGGTATTCAAACCTCGGCACTCCAGGTGATGTGAACTATATATCCTCCAATGCTTTGCCAGTATCATGGTTGTAAGAATATAATGAGAGATAATATCTGGAGGGTTGAAGGTTGCCTACCCCTGCTTAGGGGGTCCAATATGAAAAATGTTGCATATAAAATATACTAAATAATTACGACACAATTACTATTCCAGTGATAACCATAAAGATTTAGTGAACCCAAAGTGAAGTAAAAGTGTACACAAAGACCTAAACAAAGAACCTGGAGGAAAAGTTTACCCTGTATTAGCATGTGCCTGGGGATACCTACCATTGCTCATGTCTATGTTTTGTTGTCTGTTGCTTGTTCAATCCTTTCCTCCAATGAAGCTGATATAAGTGAATGTTGATTCCATTGTTCTAGAAGAGGGCTAGCTCTGTCCCCAGAGCAGTTTAGACCTACAGTGGAACCTCAGAACTCGGATGGTTCCTTACCCGAACAATTTGGACTTCCCTTTCCCTGCACCAGTCTGCTGCTTTCTCACCCTTTGTAACTAGCATTTTCACAGTCTGTTTCACTCATTTACCTTTTCACTTGTTCTGTCACACATCTCACAATTTTCCCATGTGTAATTGGATGCAGATGCTACTACTGACAAATAAAAACTATTTTGAGACCTAAACGGCATTTTACTGAAAGGCAAACAATTGAGTTTCTCTAAAGGTTCATCTGTTATCAGAATCCTCATATTGTCATTTTTTTTTTTACTTTTGAAATGAAATTTCCACACAGAAAACATGAAAAATTATTAACTTGTTTTAACTTGCATTGTTGATAGTTACATTTTGCTCAATATATTTTTTATATAAATGCCATACCTGTTTTAAGGGTTAGCATGTAAGCTGATGCACAGGCGTATCCAGATGGACAGGCCACAGAGCTCCCTGTGCAGGATGTGGAACCCCTTGTGATACATGATACACATTGAAGACTGGAAGATACTAAAAGATATTTAAGGATAAAAAATAGATCACAATATGAATGATAGATCTAAATCTCATTATCAACTCAATTCATAAAATGTTTAATTTCGCTTCCTATGTTATTAACATAAAACCCCAAATTGCTGCTTTGCTAAGCTTTAGAAGATGTACCATGGCAAAGGAAACATTTGAAATGTAAGGAATATGCTCCTTAGACAAGCTAATAAGTTACATGTACTCAGGGCCGGCACCCACCGAGATGTTTCATATTGTGCATATTATGTGCTGCAGCTTAAGAATAGTTGGACATGCTGCTTTGTGTATTTGTGTATTTGGGTCTCTTTGATTGCCGAAAGACATTTTAAGCACTTGAACAATAGCACTTGCTCTGGGTGTGGGAAGATTGATTATAGGTAAGGTATTGACTGAAAGGTATTCTAGAGTGCCAGGAAAACAAAACAGTTTCTAAAGTGCTTCCTCCCTTGCGCCCTCCCACGGCGCTGAAGGAGTTAAAACCCCTTCAGTCACTTACCTTAATCAGGCTCCACCCACACTACTCCCCTACCGACATCAGCCAGCGGGGGAGACTAATGCGAATGCGTGGCAATGGCCGAGCTCGCATTAGGATTTCCCCATAGGAAAGCATTATTCAATGCTTTCATATTATCTCCTTCTCGGTTAATAATTTTGTTGCCTAACAATAATTTTTTTTTAATATAAATATTAACATTTTAGTATTGGCAGAGTATATTAATATTTTAATATGGGTGGGTGGAAAACATTAATATTTTAATATGGGGACAAATCTGACACTGGAAGTCCTCATTTAGAGCGTGAGGATGTCCGCCATTGGATAACAGACCAAAGTTCCATTTCAATTCAAGAATTCCCTCCAGTGGTTGTCTGTTAGTCACTAGAGGTGGAGTTAACCCTCAGGGGTAATAATTGCAGTTTATCAGAAACCACTGTAGGGTTAAGGGACATGGGACGTTACACCCAGATCACTTCAATGAGCTACGTGATAGGTTGGCTATACGATTATGTGACATAATTTTGTAGACTAACAATTTTTGTCAATTTTTTGTCGGCTAAAATTTTTGAGATTTAGTTGACTAAAATTAGACTAAAACAACTAAGATGACTAAAATACGGCTAAAACTAAAATGGCATTTTAGTCAAAACACTATAACTAAAGCTGAATTGAAATTTGGTGCCAAAATGAACACTGAACAGAGAGGCTGTGGAAAGGGGCAAAAAGTATTTAACTAAACCCATTCGATTTTAGTCATGTTGACTAAAATCTGCTGGACATTTAGTTGACTAAAACTAGACAAAAACTAAAACAATTCAGATAACTAAAATACGACTAAAACTAAAATAGCTTTTTAGTCAAAAGACTATTACTAAACTAAATTTAAATTTGCAGCCAAAATTAACACTGTGTGACCTCATCCGCTTATTTGTAAAATCGAGCAACTGTGAAACGTAATTTTTTTCCCAAACATTTAGGTTTAGAATAAAATAAATAGATTAATTAAAATTAAGCTGTTTTATAGCAGATCACTGCCTTCTCTAGTGTTCACTGATAATCTAAGGTGAGGCAAAGAGGGAGTTTTAATGTATACCTCTTCAATCAGACTTTGTGGACAGGTAAAACCAGCCATGTTAAATAGTCGTTAACCAACTGGAGGAAATGTTTCTGTCATAGGAAAAATTCAAACAATGGAAACGTGATCTATAAATATGTGGTGGCTGTCATTCCCCTAATAAATGATTACAATGTTATGATCAAGATCAGAGATGTAAATTAGATAGGGCATGATTATTGGGTAATCCTGGGAGATCCTGGTTGTTACTTTGACCGGTAATGTGACAACATACGTTCGGGCAATGGGAGATCCCCTGCAGAAGGTCTTTATTACCTCAACATGTGAGGGATTTATTTCATTTTAAAGGACCCCAAGGCATCTAAGTATCAATCATGTCGACCATTATTTATTTTTGGACTTGTGAGATCCATGAACAACTGCAAATAACGGTCCAAATGATTTAAACTTTACTGACTGAGGAAACGATCAGGATCTCTTACAATCGGATAACGTAATACATCCTGTAGCAAGTCTACCATGCACAAATCTACACAGTGCTGGGCTTGTAAAAACTATGCTTTTATGCTCATACTTTACTCTTGCAATACTCTGTAACAGATATGTCAACACTCTTACAGTTGATTATAATAAGCAGATGAATGTTGCGCTATGGACCACAAGTCCTGCATGCTAGCATCCCAGGAGTAATTTTCTTCTTTTGCCTGCCTCATTATGAATAGAACTTGTTGAAACATACTTTGTCAATACTTTTATCACAGAGCATCAAACTTAAGAAACAGAGAGATTCGGAATTTGATATTTTTAAAAAGTGTCGCATCCACAATCCACATGTGGATCAAAACAGAGCCATCTGTTCAACTAAAGTATTCACATTTTGTACCATTTTAATTGACACTTTGAAAGCACAGTTTAGTACGCATTAATATTAAAAATCCTTTTCAGGGTCTCCTACTGCAAATACTTTTTCTTACACTAAATTGGTACTAAACAGGTTCTACAAGTGTTCAAATAAACATCCAATCACAGGGAAAGTAAAATTAGACATCAGTACCAGGATTTGTGCAGGAAAATGTAAAATCAACAGCCAAGCCACCTCCTATCACACTGTAGGTGCCAACATCACACAAAGTGCTGGTTCCACAACTACTAATAGTCTCTATAGTTCCACCTATAAGAAAAAATATTATTTATTAAATAACATTGGAATTATTATGAATATGAGATATTGGAGTGAAAATTATTAAAATAAAAAAATAGATAATTATAGATACGAGAGAAAAACTCTTACAAACGTTCAATCAGGAAACACTAACAGAGGCTTAAAGGAACATTATAGCATTAGGAATACAAATCTGTATTCTTAACTCAATATTGTCCTACTCAAGGCCATTCCTGGGCGGGTGCACCTCTCCAAGGCACCGGAAGGTGGGGGGGAGCAGAGAAGAGATGGAGCGTCACAAAATGTCTTCATCCAGGTGTCTGTGACCCTAGGATCATCCTTGGTTCTACAGCATGATTCATTTTAGGTCCACCCTGTTTGGAGTAAAAACCTGAAGAAAAGTGTTTTTTTTTACTTACCTTTTACCCAGTGCTAGGACTATTTTATTGATACCGCCCAATCCCCCAACAACATCATCTGGCTCTCTAAATTCAATGCTTCTCATAGAGAAGGATTAGTGACTGATACGCATATGCAGCAAGAACTGTGCACCCATGCAAATACTTCTCATAGGAAAACATAGAATTCAATGTTTTCCTATGAGCTGCAACATCACTGTGACTGCATTTTATGTTTTCCAGCAGAAGTGCCTATAGTGGCTATCAGGAATATATCTTGTAACGTAAAGGTTGCTGTTTCTACAAAACTGCAATGTTTCACATGGAATGGTCACAACTACAGGGCCACTGTGCCCATATCCTTCTGGGAGACTTCAGTGTTCCTTTAACAATCGGACAATCTGCCCTAGGCAGAAGCAAGCTGTACACCTGTCTGATGAGAGGAGGACATATTATATATCTACAAATTACAAATTAACAATACTGCCTATTCTCCAAAGTAACAGGAAATACTCTTCACTTTTGTACGTACTTTGTACTGTATGTTAGACAGTGATCCATACAAGGAAGGTTTTGGTGAGGATTATTACCTGTTTGCTTTGTTTGGCTAACACACATATTCTCACTCCCAGTACACTGCATTGTGTTTGAAGAACAAGAAGAACTTGGTGAGATACAGGTGGGACATACCAGCCCATTCGCTTGAACATTATCCGGGGGCACTGAAAGATAGCAAGAGAATGCAGATTAGTTACTGTAGCACTTTTAGACTTTATTTCGTGATGGAGAGCACTGCTGTCTGTTTCTTACAGGGTTATTGGATAATTGTCATGATTCAAAAATAATTCAAAGTTTATTTCAAACTTAAGTTAGGCCAAAATTGTTTGAATTGAAAAGATTCATCAAGTCAGTTATGCTTATGGTTTGTCTACAATCGTCTACAATTACAAATTCACTTTGATTTCCTGAAATTCCTCACTTTATTGAATAACCCTGCTAATATGTTATCATTATCCACTAGTCACAGAGGATGTTCTATATATATTCTACCACCAACCTCTCCTGAACAGCTACATTGTTTTCAATTTATTGTAGAAATTTTGAACAGTGTTCCAAATCCAATGCGAGAAAAACAGAACGATACTATATAAATTTAGAAATAAATGTATTTATAAAAAGGGGTCTATATGGTATCGTACACCATCATCAACACACTCACTTCTCTGACAAGATCTCTACATCTTTCTTATTCCCCTTACAATACTTCCCCTAACCTCACTCCCTCTGCTGTTCTATGTTCATTCGCACCCACTACAGTGGAAGAGGTTTCTGCTCTGCTCCAGTCCTCCCGTCCCACCACCTGCTCCCTAGATCCATCTCATCCGTACTCTGTCTTCTTCTCTTTCTCCACCTCTCACTAAAATACTCAATCTCTCTCTCCCCTCTGGCATATTTACATTACCTTTCAAACATGCAACTGTAACCCCAATTCTAAAAAAGCCTTAACCTTGACCCTAACTCCCCATCCAACTACTGTCCTATCTCGCTACTGCCTTTTGCATCCAAGATCCTTGAAAGAGTTGTGTATGCAAGATTGACAGACTTCATTGAGTCTAACTCTCTGCTAGACCCGCTTCAGTCTGGTTTCCGCGCTAACCAAAGTAGCCAGTGATCTACTTGCTGCAAAATCTTGTGGTCACTACTCTATCCTAATTCTCCTTGACCTGTCTGCAGCTTTTGACACAGTTGATCATCAATAGCTTCTTCTCATTCTCCGCAATATTGGTCTACAAGATATTGCTCTCTCCTGGTGCTCCTCCTACCTCTCCCAGCGCTCTTTCAGTGTTTCTGTTGGTGTCCCCCAAGGTTCAATCCTTGGTACCCTACTGTTCTCTATTTATACTTCCTCCCTTGGTAAACTTATTAGCCCCTTTGGCTTCCAATATCATTTCTATGTGGATGACACGCAAATCTACCTGTCCTCTCCTGATCTCTTCCTGTCCCTCTTTACTAGGGTTTCTGACTGCCTCTCTGCTATTTCTAACCGGATGGATGCCCACTTCCTTAAACTCAACTTGACCGAAACTGAAATTCTAGTCTTTCCTCCCTCAAGTGTTGCTACTCCTGTGTCTCCCTCCCTCCAAGTCTACTACCATCAGCTTCACAATGCAGGCTCACTGCCTAGATGTTCTCTTTGACTCCGACCTCTCCTTCACCCATCATGTCCAGTCTATTGACAAATCCTGTTGTTTCCATCTCAAAAACATTGTGCGCATCTGACCCTACTTAACGCCAGATGCGACTAAGGTGCTGGTCCATTCCATTGTCCTTTCTCGCCTTGACTACTGTAATCCGATTCTCAGTGGTCTTACATTCTCCCACCTTGCACCGTCCATAATGAATGAAGTGACGAGGCTCATCTTCCTGTCCACCAGCACCTCCCATGCCTCACCTTTCTGTCAGTCCCTACATTGGCTTCCAGTAAGATATAGGGCTCACTTTTAAATTATTTTACTTCCTTTCAAATCTCTACATAATGCTGCTACCACCTATCTATCCTCATTTACACACAAGTATGTCCCATCTAGCCCTTAAGCTCTGCTGAAGACTTATGTGTATCTTCTTTCCGTACTCCCACCTTTGATGCTCACCTTCAAGACTTCTCCAGGGCTGCACTGTTCCTGTGGAACTCACTTCCCTCCTTCCCGTTAGATGCTCACCCAGTCTCCACTCCCTCAAAAAATCATTAAAAACCCACTTCTTCATAAAAGCATTTCAATTAAACTGTTAATAGCTCCCGACTGATTCCTCTCTTGCAACTGTCATTATACTGTCTAATACTATCTAATACCTTTTGTGTCACTTTACCCCACTCCCTCTAGCATGTGTGTCCAACTTGTTCCTGTGTGTCCAACTTGTCTAGTTAAAATTACATGTCTGTTCGTCCACCCACTGTAAAGTGCTACGGATTTTGTCAGCGCTATATAACTAATAACATAATAACATAATAATAATAATAATAATAATATACAGTCTGTCTAATAGTGTGACCCAAAATGTTAGAGGTAGGAGCACTTTTGTCCCCATCATTTTAATATGCATTTAATATGGATTGAAAAAATTCTCCAAGCCAATTCCAGTTTAATTTTTGGTATTCTGGCCTTAAATTTGACATATACTTTGAATTCCAACAGTTTTCACTTTCGTAAAATATCTTGTGAATGCACCATGGTACAAGATTTCCTCCTCCCAAGTTGGCCATGGTTGGTTGGTGCTGATACAAGATGTCAGAGACAAATATTCTCATCAGGTTTAGTCTTTCAGACAAATCAAATTTCAGCTGACTTTTGGAATGTGAAAATGTCTGAATTCAGAATTCTGAAGTTCCGAGTTCAAAATTTGGCAACATTCAAAATAACCAAAAGTGAAAGATTACGGAATAAATTGTTCCGAAAATCCATTTGTTTTCATAAGCACTGCAAATTAGTGATTTATCTAGTATGCAAATGAAATGGCAAAATTAAGAAAAAGTTTTGGTTTTTTCTTAGTTTTGATTTTTCAGCTGTTATAGATAGCTATCTAAATTTGTATCCTTACGTGGGATTGCCATTTATTAGCATGCCAACTAAGGAACTTATCTACTAAGCAACTGGAAGAACAAATTTAGGGACCTTGGCTCTTCTCATTTTTGCTCTTTCAGTTGTTCAGTAGATAGCTCACTGGTTTGGTATCCTATCCTTACATGGTATTTATTAGAGCACTGTTTAGTAGATAGGTTCCTCATTATGGCACCCTTGTGTGGGACGGCCCTTCTAAGGATACCAAATTAGGGCAGTGTTTAGTAGATAGTTTTAGTAGATAGCTGAACGAATAGGCAATCTAACATAAGGGTACCATATTAGGGGAGCTATCTACTAAACAGTGCAATCATTTGGTATCCTAAGTACGGAAATTACACATAGGGGTATCTACTAATCAGCATCTGTAGGAAATAATGAATATCTGAAATTCAGAAGTTTATGAACATTTTCAGATGAAATTACAACATTTTGCTGAAACTTATTTTGGAATTACCAAAGCAAAAAAAATTTTTTTCCCCACATACACATGTCTACTTTACAGACCCCTTAGTCTCTTTTAATAATTTGTTTGCGATTGTGCCTGTCTTGATACAGTCAAGCAAAGAATGAAAATATTAGTAAATATTAAAGAAGCATTATAGCCACCAGAACAACTGCAGCTTATTGTATTTGTTCTGATGAGTAGAATTATTCCCTTCAGGCTTTTTGCAGTAAACACTGTTTTCAGAGAAAATGCAGTGTTTACATTACAGCCTAGGGATACCTCCACTGGCCACTCCTCAGAGAGTCTAATAGAGGTGCTTCCTGGGGCAGGGCTGCACACTGTGCAGTACTGCCATTCAGAGTCTCCACCTTCTGAGTGCAGACACTAAGCTTTCCTCATAGAGATGCATTGATTTGATTAATCACTATGAAGAGATGCTGATTGGCCAGAGCTGTGTTTGACTTGTGCTGGCTCTGCCCCTGATCTGTCTGCTTGACAGTCTCAGACAATCCTATGGAGAAGCATTGCAATTTACTCAGACCACCATTTCTGATGATGTCAGCAGACAAAATGATGTTAGAGGCAGACAGGGGCAGATGCAGCAGCTGCAGACTTGAATATAACTAAGATTTTATTCTATTTAGGGTGGCAATAGAGGGGCAGGAGGAAGGGGGGGGGGCTAGATGGGGGTTTTAACTCCATAGGGTCAGGAATACATGTTTATGTTCTGAAAGAGGGGTAACCACACTCAGTGGATTACTCTGGCTTTGAGATCTTAATAAGACACTAGGCACCAAAACAACTTTAGTTTAATTAAGCAGTTTTGTGTATTGATCATGATTCGGAAGTTTCACTGCTCAATTCTCTACCATTTAGGAATTAAATCACATTTGTTTCCTTCCATGCAGCAATAGCCACCTCTCTCCTGGTTATGACTCACACAGTTTGCATGAAAACAATGGTTTAATTTTCAATCAGATGTTAATTTGCTTTAGAAGTTGTATCTCTTGCTCTGTAAATTTAACTTGCATCTTACACACAGCAGTCTCCATCACGATCAAACAGACTACGAAAAAAAAATCTAAATCAAATAGAATGTGCAATAAATGAAGTTTAAACACTGGATGACTCTTTATAGGAAGTGTTAGGAAGACTGTGTAAATCACATGCAGGGGGTTGTAGTAACAAAGTAATTTAACTCCTAAATGGCAGAGAATTGTGCAGTAAAACTACAGGAACATGATCTATACACCATTAAAATTAAGATTAGTTGTTGTGGTGACTATAGTGTTTCTTTAAGCTAGAGGTTATTCTTTGGGTTTAATTGGATAAGTAATAAAAAGTGTACTGATCTCCCTGTAGCCCAGTTGTTTCTCTGTAGAGGGTCATCATGCCAATCTCTTGGAAGCAGAGTAATAAAACATTGAGGTAAGTACAGCCAAGCAACCTATGTTTTCCTCTCTCCCTGCGGCATCACCCTTCTTGTTGCCACTGAGATAAGGTGATATAGGAAGAGAAGCTGCATACCTAACTCTTTCAATAACTGACATTTCAGAGAAATATTCAGAATAATGACATATAAGTAAGTACTTACACATAGGCATAGTTGGAGAACAGTTGTTTGTTGAACAACAGGAGCTGGCCATATAAATTTTGACACCAGAATAGGTCATAGATCCAACAATATTACACTTGGATTCTGGAGCACATGATCTAACAACATCTATAGTTGCTTTGCCTGTGAATGATACATTAAGATAGCATTAAGAGTGACATTGTAAATAATTGTTTATTCTGCGGGTATATTTTTTTATATTCTCAGTAATACTTGATATTTCGTGCAAAAATAAATAAAACTTCAATACCAACAATGTTTTTTGACCCACCCTTCCACCAGTTTTCTAAATAATGGGTTAGCTGATATTATTAACAAACAAACAAATGTTATTTATAAAAAAAATAAAAAATGACATAACAGTGAGTGCAATGGGTGTAATTATATGCAATGGCCTTTCTAGAAGTCAAGCCTACAATACTGTTGGAATGCAATTGGGGAAAGTCATCACTATTTAAAAAGGCAGGAGTCAAAATAAAATAACATAAATACATTTTTAAATGTTGTTCTTTGGTTATTTTAATTATACATATCTGTATCCAGTTTAATATATAATACAGTTAAAGGGACATGCATTACTTGACAATTGTTACTATAAACTTGGTCAGATTGCATTATTGGGCACGCCTCTCTCTCTGCTAGGAGAGTTTCTTCAGCCGCATTTCCCCTCCCTCTTCACCTCCCACACGCTTCCCAGTTGCTGGACGTGATTTATTTATTATTTTTTTTGGGATGAGTGCCAGAAACTGTTGAAATTTATATATATAATATCATATGTATTTATATATGACTCAATCATCTGGGGTGGCAAGACATAGCCCCTTACATTTTATTGGTCAATATATATATTTATTTTTTTCTAATATAAAATATTCCTTTCAGAGTAAAACATTTAATTATACAGTAAGCGTACTCACATGCAGATACAGACAATCTCACTGACATACGCAAGCTCATTGATACACAGCGTCATAGACATTGATGTACATAAGTTCATTGGCATAAATACACAAGCTTACAGATGCACACAAATAGGCTCACTGACAGACAATCTCACTGACATGCACAGACAAGCTTATTGTCATACACACACAAATGTTGTACAGACAAACTCTGACATACACAAGCTTACTACAGACAAGCTCACACACACACACACACACAAGCTCACTCACTAGAATGCACACACACACACAAGCTCACTCACTAGCAGGCACACACACAAGCTCTCTCACTAGCAGACACACATGCACAGACAAGCTCACTCACTAGCAGGCACACACACAAGCTCACTCACTCGCAGGCAGACACACAAGCTCTCTCACTAGCAGACACAAACACACACAGACAAGCTCACTCACTAGAAGGCACACACACACTCACTAGAAGGCACACACACAAACTCTCTCACTAGCAGACACACACACACAGACAAGCTCACTCACTAGCAGGCACACACACAAGCTCTCTCACTAGCAGGCACACATACACCAGCTCTCTCACTAGCAGACACACACACAAGCTCACTCACTAGCAGGCACACACAAATAAACACACAGACAAGCTCACTCACTAGCAGGCACACACACACACAGACAAGCTCACTCACTAGCACACACACACACAGACAGGACCGAATGCCTAGTTCACCTAACGGTGGCGCCGGTCTGCTGGGGGGCGCCTAGAGGGAAATTTCCTGGTGGGCTCACCCTGTCTTGAGCCGCAGAACTAGGCCCTGCTATACTAAACGGCGGGCGGGAGGAGTGAGGAGCTGCCCCGCACTGGATCCTAGGGAGGTGAGTGTTTAAGTGTTTGTCAGTGAGTGTGTGTGTCACTGAGTGTCTGCCTGTGTGTGTGTGTGTGTGTCAGTGAGTGCCTGTGTGTGAGTGAGTGCATGTCTGTCTCTGTGTGTGTGTGTGTGTGTCTGTCTGTCTCTCAGTGAGTGAGTATATGTCTGTCAGTGAGTGAGTGTGTGTGTGTGTGTGTGTGTGTGTGTGTCAGTGAGTGAGTATATGTCTGTCAGTGAATGTGTGTGTATGTCACTGAGTGAGTGTATATCTGTCAGTGAGTGTGTGTGTCAGTGAGTGAGTGTATGTCTGTCAGTGAGTATCTGTGTGAGTGTGTATGTCAGTGAGTGAATGTCTGTCAGTGAATGTATGTGTGTGTGTGTGTGTGTGTTAGTGAGTGAGTGTATGTTTGTCAGTGAGTGTATGTGTTTGTCAGTGAGTGAGTATATGCCTGTCAGTGTGTGTGTGTGTTTGTCTGTCATTCAGTGAGAGAATGTCTATCAGTGAGTGTGTGTGTGTCAGTGAGTGAGTGAGTGTGTATGTCTGTCAGTGAGTGTCTGTGTGCGTGTCTGTCAGTGATTGAGTGTATGTCTGTCAGTGAGTTTCTGTGTGTGTGTGTCAGTAAGTGAGTGTATGTGTGTCAGCGTGTGTGTGTCTGTTAGTGAGTGACATGAAGGGGTGGCAAAATGGATCTTTGTCTAAGATGGCAGAAATTCTTGCACCGGCCCTGAACACAGACACGCTCACTCACTAGCAGGCACACACACACACAAGCTCACTCACACACACACACACATAAACAAACACACACAAGCAGGCACACACACACACAGACAAGCTCACTCAGACAAGCTCACTCACTAGCAGGCAAACACACACAGACAAGCTCACTCACTAGCAGGCAAACACACACACACGGACAGACAAGCTCACTCACTAGCAGGCACACACACACACACACACACAGACAAGCTCAGTCACTAGCAGGAAAACACACACACAGACAGACAAGCTCACTTACTAGCAGACACACACACACACAGACAAGCTCACTCACTAGCAGGCAAACACACACACAGACAAGCTCACTCACTAGCAGGCACACACACAAACACAATCACTGTAATGACTGAAGCTTACCTGGCACTGGTAGGTGAATTTTCTATTTTGTAGCCTCTTCCTTCCGGCGAGCAACGTGTGTGTGGGGGAGGGGGCTTACACGAGGGGCGGAGCTATGTTCAGGAGCGGGACTTGTGTGCGGAGGCGGGGCATGCAGCCTAAATTAAGGTAAATTGTGCTGGGAGACTCCCTCCGGCCGCAGGCAGCCTCATTGCCTCATTGCGCCCGTACCAGCCCCCAGATAGTCCCTCTTTACTCCCCTCGGACTGACACAGCCTGGCACAGTCCGAGGGGAAAATATTTTAAATAAAATTACTGTCAGCCTGGCCCCAGGTGCCGCGGCCCACCAGGAAATTTCCCGGTATCCCGGTGGGCCAGTCTTGCCCTGCTTACCCCCCTCCCTCCCCTTCTCTAACATCAGTTGTTTTAAGTGTTAAACTCTATCAGATTGTTTGATTTGTATTGCTTCAGACCTGAGGAAGACAGGATACTATTGAAAGCTTGTCTTTGAAATATTATGTTAGTCAAATAAAAAAGGAATCATTGCATACTGCAATACTCTGGTATTTTGGCATCTTGTCTAGTGGACTAATACGGCTAATCCAATCTACACTATATATATTACACACACACACACTATAGATTTATTTTTTTCTACTGCCATTCATGAGCATAGGGATCAATAAACAGCACTTTTTCAAAGAATGTCCTGCTTAAAAGTATATTATAAAACTTCACAGCTCCAATATGTTTTGCTTTGATATTTTGACAAACAGCAGTTCCTATAAATAAAACATCAGTTTACAGGTATGTAAAAATCTGATATGTTATATGATATTGAAGAATAATGTACATATTTTATACATCCCAAAATATCTTTATTCCTCTTCATGATTGACTGGTCATTCTTGGTGTATTCACTAAACTGTGAGCTGTGATGGCAACCTGAAAAAATAGCTGTAGAAATGTTACAGTTCAGTTCTTTAGCCTGAAATGATCACTTCCTTTCATCAAATCGCCAAAATGTCTGGATTTTGAGAATAAAGTACTATCCTTTTCAATAGTAGTAATCTAGTTTGGATTTATTTATATATCTACCTAAAAAAAGTTGTAATTTAAATATCACCAACAAGTAAAGCTGTATGTTTATTCATTATTTTAACTTTTTTTTTTTTTTTTAATTAGGTTACAATTGCATGTGATGAACTCAAATAAAAAAGATAAGCCATGGTGCTCTCCGAAATAAGCAGAGAAATACAAAGCTCACCCGAGTTAGTCCAAGTGCTCAGTGCTCCTACACCGCTCCATTCATGGCACAGGTATCCGAAATTATATCTGAACACAATGGAAGCGTTTGCACAATATATAGAAATTGCAGTTCAATGAAGTTCTTGATACACATGACATACCTGATATAACAGTCACCAAATAAGAAGTTGCACAGACATAACCAGTTGGGCAAATTACGCTGCGCCCTGTGCAGGTTGTGTTACTTGATGTTGTACAGGATACACATTGCCGCTGGGAAGCAAACACTAGAAGATAAACATGTATATATATTAGATCCCAATATAAATGGTTCTGAAACATGTTAAAATGTTTTATGGGAGCCTATAACCATCATAGTATTTTTGGCCCTGCACACATATGTGTTCACTCTTATGAAATTTGTATATTCATTTTTATAAAATATTTTAATGGACATTGTATTCCACAAGAACAGAAGTGCCAGTGACAGTCTTTTCTCTACCATTCTGTCATATTACATGATTATACATACAGTAGATATACAGCATATTTACAATGTTGTATCACATTATTTTATCCATAGAATTGTTCACAATCTGTTTGATTTTTCCATTGTATAACTATATTTATTAGGTTTGCAAACAACAATATTTTGTGCTAAAAAATACATTATAAGCACTGTAAGCAGGCAATAATTGATCCTGAAGATGTCTTAATATCCACATTAATCTCTCAAACTTAAAAAGGGTTGTTAGACACGTACCTGTAGTCCCACTGTTGCACAAAAATGAAATAGAAACAACTGCACCACTGGCAGTAGCAGTAAAGCTACCAATGTCACAGGGAGCCTGAGTAGAGCAACCACGGATATTACTGATTCCTACAAAAATTAAAAATTGTTCTTATAAGATATATGGCATGTTTCTTGTGCAGGAGTATTACTGCGTTGATAGAGTGAATATGAAGACAGTTAGACTATAATAAGTACAAAGCATTTCTACATGTCCAAGTAATTGTATTGTCGATGATCATGTGGCAGAACTCATGGCATAAGGTATTCCGATGACCTCTCTCCAACAGCAACATACACTCCTTTAACGTTCCCTGACGGTTTGTTCAACAGTTGCAAGAAAGTAACACATGTGTATGATATTTATAAAATATGGTTTGGTTAACACACACTGTATGATTCTGAGTAATTTCAAGTTATATGTGAAAGCATTAAACAGTAATAACAACAGTAACTATATTTTAAGCCATTTTGAATCGAATGTAAGACTTTTAATTAGTTGTCAAATATTGATTCTTGACTTGAAGAATGGTTTGCATGTATTCTATATATTAATACATAATGACATTACCATTATTTGAAATTGTGGTGTAGCGAACACACATATTCTCCTCTCCTTGGCATAGCATGGTTTCTGAAGAAGTACAATCAGAACTTGCTGATATACAACTCGGACACGTCAGTCCATTGAACGCATTACTAATAGATGGAACTGTAAGGTAAGGAGATAAAAGTAAAAAGAACAAAACATGGTTTAATTAAAAAAACTAATTAAAATATAGGTGCTCACTATATACTGTAGGCGAAGCAGCAGTAAATCTTACAAGGATTCCCGAACCCTGGGACAATATGTAATAAAGAAAGCAAACAATTGATAAACTGTCCAAAAGATATAATACACATGGGATGCAGCTAATAAACCTAAAATATAATAAAAAAAATAGCATAATACAGTTGATGGAAATGTCGTAATCCCTGCTAAAGATTGCACTCACAGAATTTTGGAAATGCACTCTAATGATGCCTCCCCTGGTGTTTGGGGGGATAATTTCTCCCTCTTAGGATCTCCGTTTTATTATATTTTAGGTTAGGTTAGCTGCATCCCAAGTGTATTATATATTTTGGCTTGTTTAGACTTAACACTACTTGGGAGGTGTTCAGTGGGAAGCTGTTTTCTCTTTATTGATAAGAACATGTTTTTTGTTTTTTTTTACTTGTTGTATTATAATTGATAAACTGTGCCTAAAAATGTTAAACCTTAAGTGTAATCACACATAAAAACACTGAAAAATTTAGAAAAAAAATAGACTGCGCCAAATAAGAAATACTAGTTAGTCTTATACAGATATATGTATACACAATATTATATATAAAAATACTGAGATATAACAATATTAAAGAGTCCCAGCAGAAAAAGTATTTTTTGGAGTTAAGAACCTTTTGAAGGTAGTGCTTTTTTGGATTTCAGTCTGTTATCCTCCTAAGTGTTCTAATAGACCTACTGTCTTCCCCCCTGCCCCAACCCCTGGGCGGCGGGTAGGGGCCATAAAGATAATGAGGGGAGGGGACCTACTGTCCTCCCCTCTGGCCCCCACCATTGGGCAGCAGTTGGGGGCCATAAAGATAATGAGGGAGGGACCTACTGTTCTCCCACCAGCCCCCACCATGAGCGGCAGGGGGGGGGCACAAAGATAATGAGGGGGGACCTACTGTTCTCCCCCTGGACCCCACCCCTGGGCGGCGGGTGGGGCCACAAAGATAACGAGAGGGGGACCTACTGTCCTCACTCAATGCCCCACCCCTGCGCTGTGGGTGGGGGCCATAAATCACAATGGGGGGACCTACTGTCCCTAGGCGGCGGGTCGGGGCCATATAGATAATGAGGGGAGGGGACCTACTCTCCTCCCACCGGCCCCCACCCCTGGGTGGCGGGTGGGGGCCACAAAGATAATGAGGGGGGACCTACTGTCCTCCCCCCGGCCCCCACCCCCCCACCCCTGGGCCGAGGGTGGGGGCCATCAATCACAATGGGGAGACCTACTGTCCTCCCCCCACGGCCCCCACCCCTAGCCAGCAGGTGGGGGTCACAAAGTTAATGAGGGGACCTACTGTCCTCCCCCCCGGCCCTCACCCCTGGGTGACAGGTGGGGGCCATAAAGATATTGAGGGGGGACCTACTGTCCTCCCCCCGGCCCCCACCCCTGGGCGGCGGATGGGGGCCACGAAGACAATGAGGGGGGACCTACTGTCCTCCTCCCCGGCGCCCACCCCTGGGCGGCAGGTGGGGGCCACAAAGATAATGAGGGGGGACCTACTGTCCTCCCCATAGCCCCCAGCCATGGGCAGTGGGTAGGGGCCACAAAGATAATAGGGGGGGGACCTATAAGATTAGACAGAAAGAGGTTAAGCAAGTTATAAGAGCTTCCAAATCACACACAGAAGAGAAAATAGCACAGTCAGTAAAAAAAGGGATAACATTTTTTTTAGATATATAAATGAGAAAAAGAAAGTAAAACAAGGATTAGTTAGATTAAAAACAAAAGAAGAAAGGTATGTAGAAGATGAAAAAAGAGAAAATAAGGTCTCCTAAACTAAATAATCCAACTTGTAAGGGCCTGACCCTAATAGCAAGTTAAAAAAAATGTTCCAAAGAGAAGGAACCAAAAAGCGTTGGATAGCCCTTATGAATCAGAGCATACCACTAAAGTTAAGAAATCTCAAAATAACACCTAATAAAATTAGGTAACAACACATATAAAGGGAATCTAAGAGACAATACCCTCACGTATAACCAATGCTGATACATGTGGGAAAATCCTTTATTAATGCTAGGGTAAGTGTAGAGTGGTATGTCTACTAAATGTCTCAAAAAGAGGGGTAGGTTCAGTATTATTGAAGGACGATAATTAATAGAGCAGTCAGAATTGTCCTCAATGTTACTTGTAGAAACTAGTAATTGTATCAGAATTGTATCTTCACACTCAAAATAGTAAGAAAGTAACAGTGGGGGGTAAGATAGAGATAGTATACACAGGGAAATGCCAAATATTGTAATAAAGTTAGTTATTTCAAATAAATATAGTTATCTTCCATATATAAGATACCATTGGATATCTCCACTTTTGTTTCTATGTATTATTCCACTGAGAGATACCAACAAGACTGCTTATTATCTATCCTGAGGTGGGAATTGTACCATCCATGCTAAATACAGCAGAGCTCTTCAAATCTCCGTGAAGTGTGAGTGTGCCTTTATTTATCTCAAAAGACATATTGCACTATTCTATTATTTGTTTATTAATTTTTTCTTTGCCTTATCTGGCATTATGCAACTAAAAGCCCGTTTGGTGTATGTATGTTTTTATGCATTCATTTAGCTTCCCTCGATTACACCAGCAGTGACACCAGCAGATGTTCAATCCAAAGGTTACTAGTATTAACCCCTTAAGTACCGGCCTGTTTTGGCAATGTTGTACGTTAAGGACCAGAGCGGTTTTAACACTTTTGTGGTGTTTGTGTTTAGCTGTAATTTTCCACTCTCTCATTTATGGTTCCCATACAAATTATATATTGTTTTTTTCAGGACAAGAAGGGCTTTCTTTACATACCATTATTTGTATAATGTCGTATATTTTACTTTAAAAAAAATAATAAAATATGGTGAAAAATTGAAAAAAAAAAACATGTTTTTGGACTTTTACTTGAAAACTCTTTTACTTATCTACAAAAGCTAATGAAAAAAACTGTTCAATAGATTCAAAATGTTGTCCTGAGTTTAAAAACACCCAGTGTTTACATGCTATAAGTACAAGTGACTAAGTGGCTACTAAAAAAGGCTTAACATACCCCATTTGAAATACATTGGCTTGTCTTCTTTTGCAAATGGTATGACATCATGGGGGTAATTCTAATTTTTGGGCTACCATACGCTCTCAAAGGCAACATAACCAATCTGACAAATTTCAATGAAAAAAAAAGTAAAATCAAGCCTTATATTTGACCCTGTAACTTTCAAAAACACTATAAAACCTCTACATGTGGGGTACTGTTATACTAAGGAGAATTCGTTGAACACAAATATTAGTGTTTCAGAACAGTAAAATGTATCACAGCAATAATATCATCAGTGAAAGTGCTGTTTGTGTGTGAAAAGTGCAAAAAACTTCACTTTCACTGACAATATCATCGCTGTGATATGTTTTACTGTTTTAAAAGACTAATATTTGTGTTCAGCGAAGTCTCCCGAGTAAAACAGTACCCCCCGTGTACAGGTTTTAGGGTGTCATAGAACGTTACAGGGTAAAATACAGTGCTAGCAAATTAAATTCTCTGGACTTTCGGCCTGGGTTGGCAGGCAGGTCCCTCAAATTGCAATCAATAAAATTACTGAATTATGTAAAAATATTACATAAATATGCACGTAGAATTTAAATATATATATATATACATACATATTTATATATTTGAAGTCTACATGTATATTTATGAAATTATTTATGTAATTATGTATATGGACATATGTATATTTCATATTATTTTTATTTATTTATTTTAACATAGATATAGAGATATATATATATAATCATTCTAAGCTGGGGGAACGATGGCAATCAGGTAAGTACCCCAAGACCCCAAGACCGTCTCCGGTCCTCAAGGGGATGTTTCCGATGATGGTCCTAAACCGCCATCGGTCCTCAAGGGGTTAAAAAAAGTCCTGTGTCCCCACAATGCTCCTAGATCAAAGTAAGCATAGTTAATATTCTTTATAACTTGTAATTGAGCTAGCCAGATGGTAAATTTCCCTAGCTGTGGCAAAACTGCAGCTTCCACAATGCTCAGTCAGCATATGAACTGTGTTTCTACTCTAGACAGTGGTATACAGGTTTAATGGAAGGACAACTACCTGCTGTATAAGGGAATAATGTGTTACCCATCTACTCCAAATATTGTCAATCAATACGTAAACTGAACTGAGACAGAATAAAGCAGACCCAGAAGTGTATTTCCTTTTGCTGAACATATATAGAGTTCAGAAAATTAGTTTAAAACTAAGGTAAGCAGAATGAGAGCATGCAGCCCCTCACTATAGTTAAGAATTCTCTAGTATGTTGGCCTTTATGTTAAAATAGTTAGTAGCATCAAAGTGATATAATGCCCAATGTTTTTTAATTATTATAGGTGGTTTGCAAAGGACCTGTTCGTTAATGAGGCTATTTTTAGTTTAATTATCAAGATACTTACTGGTGGGTATAGTTGGAGTACAGTCATCGGTAGAACAGCAGGTCACAAGGAAACCAATGTTTAAAGCAGTATTAGCAACAATACCCATTTTATTACACTTTTCAGCTGGTTGACACGATCTGATTGTCTCTACAACTGATGTACCTGTGGAAATTAGAGGACAATAACATTGTTATTAGAAACAGAAGTCAAAAATTAAGAATTGTTCTAGCTTTACTGACTGAATAATCAAAATTTTTATTACAGACAGAAGGTGAAAATTTAGTTAACCATCTTTACTGAAAACCTCGCAGCAGCAAAGAAAAACGTAAAATGTGTAAAACTGAATCAACCAATCAGAATTCATGTATGAGTTATATAGGGCTTTGAGATTCTTCCCACTTCCTCTTTCTTGATGCAGCTACACCATATGTAGACAACTATGTAAACAAGGAAATTGATTAAATTAACACACTAGCAGAACAATATAAAGGCCCTGATGGTGGAGAAGATTCTTCACTCTAAAAAGGAAGAGAAAAATATTGTGAAAGTATGGTTCTGTCAGGGTTCGGTGGAGCCAAAACACACAGTACAAATCACCACAAACAGACTTTCTGTATACCGGTCCTTATAGTGGCTGAACTAACAGAATTACAGAGTATGTGAGAGGTCAAAGGGATACAGAATACAGGACAATTGATAAGGAAAGCCAAAGTCAAAGGGTTACAGAAGACAGGAAAAGCGGTAAACCAGAATATTACTATTAACCAGAAACAATGTACAGAAACACGCTAAATGGCTACCAAGAACCACAACAGGGCAACAAGGAATGGGAGAGGTAAGTATTTATAGGTAGGTCTTATTTCCCATTGGTCCATGCGATTTAGAATTGCATATGATTCATGGGAAATACCTGACCTCTTTATTTGAACTCTTGATTTCATTTTTGTGTGCTGTATTCGGTCCGGTGAATTCCAAATTGGGACCCAAATTCGGTTGTACACGAAAGCACACTGTTATAATGGAAGACCTAGTTATGGATGATTCTATAATGCTAAAATGCTATATCATAACCAGAATAACCAATAGTAAAGATACTAAAATGATATAAACAAGAAAATAATGAAAACCAAAAATCAGAGGGTAGAAAAAAAATACAAAGGGTGGGAAAATATCCACCTCCTGTCTTTAATAAAATTTGGATTATTCGGTCACTAAAGCTAGAATAATCCCTAATTTTATGGCAAGACAGGATGCTTCATGTTTGCTGTTTTAATGCCTGGAAATGATAGGAAAATGATGAGTGAGAAGAAGGTCAAAAATAAAAAGTACAGAAAGTAGATAACATACACCAATCAGCTGAGGACAAGATGTCAGAAAGGGAGCTCCCTGCGAGGAGGGCAGAAGAAGCTGCTGCACCATGAATAGAATGTGCTCCGAAGGAATCATCAATTCCAGCAAGATCGATAAGTCATTTAATTCAGCAAGCAATAGTGTGACATGAAAATCAACATTGAGAACATACATAAGAGACAAAGAGGGGTTCTGAAGGAGTGAAGGGGAGTAGTAAGAGTGATGTACTGTTGTAAACAATGAGCCACACAGAGAAAAGGTCTGTCCGGAAAATACAGATAGCACACTGAAGAGAAAAGAGCTTTTGAGCAATGGGTGATGGAAAAATGTACACCTTACTTTGTAAAGACGACAGCGTGGAAATCACATACTCTCATATCAGAGACTCTCCGAAAGGAAATAAAACACAGATGTAAACACAAATGTAATTCATGAAATTATAAAAAAAAAAAGGATCTGAAAAATAATAAATGCACATATCCAAATTGGGGGGTTACCCAATTATAAGGAGGGTTTACCCAGTTACAGTTTGGTGTCACCCAAACTGAATATAAATGGGGTTACCCAATATTAGGTAAGATAGATAAGTGGTCATCACCCACAATATGGAAAAGTACTGAGCAAAATCGTGTATGACTGATTGTGAGTTGAAATGCTAGAACAAAGAGTCGTGGCCGCCAAAATTAGAGTGGTGAATGCAATACAAAAAATGGCTGAAATTTATTATAATTAGAATAGACTCACCTGAAAGGCAAGTAGCAAGGAAAGAGGAAGGAGTAGGTTGCTTCTGTTTTACACTTTTTAACTGTTTCTTTTCAGTAAAGAAGTCTACTGTCTAGCCATAGAATGCCCAAAAAACACACACACCCCTTTGGTTATTTTACTAATAAACCGCATGAAAATATAAGTAGCAAAAGGAATATTATTTGGCAAACACATTTACAAATGTAATATTGCAAATTACGTTGTGTGCATCTAATTTTGTGGCTTTGTATATTCCATGAAACATGGTAATTGTATAAACTACACTAAGTCTCTAAAATCAGTTATAATCGGAAGTCAGTTTAAATATCCAAGATCACACATTGCGGATCACACGTGATCACACGCTTTTGAGTTTAACTGAACCCAGACATTGGATCTACTTCCCTAGAGTAAGTGCTAAGAAAAACAAAATGTGATCTACACCATGATGGTGTAAATCACTATAAGAAAACTGTTATTAAAAACATAAACACTCGGAGCTCCAAAGCAACTTTAGCTTAAAGGACCACTCGACACCCGTTATGGGTGAAGTGTATCCTAGTTTAACCCTAATTTATAAAAGTGCTGAATTCTGTAAGCAATCAGCACTTTTATAAATGAAATAGGCAACACCCCTGGCTGTCAATCAAACAGTCATGGAGGTATGCAGATTCCTTCCGTTAGATCCCCTGAGCCAACGGAAGTGGCAGGCATGCTTTTCTTGAGCATGCCTGCCTCCCCCTCACAGACCTCAGTCCAGCTCCACAGACCTGAGACCAGACAAGCCAACGCATGCACACACAATGGTGTACGAGTGCACATGGGTACCAATTGAGAGTCTCTCTTTGAGAAGCATCTGATTGGTTATTTGATTTCCCTGTGAAGAGACTGCAAGTCTCTTCTGGGTAAAAAAGGGAGGGCTTGCTAAGGCTTTATTTCATAAGATCTGAAGCCTTACCAAGCTCTTTAAAGATATACACCCAGTGAATACATGTATGAAAAATGCATGCATGTATGCTATGGGTTATATCTACTAAACAGTGATTTTTTAAATCTATTTTTACAATTTGGGCAGTGGGGGGCTCTTTTAATGTAGCAGATTTTGTGTACAGACCATGCCCCTGCTGTCTCAATGATGTTTAGGAACTAAATCACTTTGGTAATGCAGCCCTATTCACACCTCCCTGCATTTGACTCGCACAGCCTCTATTAAAAAATGTTTTCATTTTAACAGCACAGTGTGTTTTCTTCTCTATCATTCTGTTAAATGAACTTTAATCACACATGGGAGACTCTAGCAGACTCAAAACATGGGATAAGATATTCTAAATTAAACACAATAAGCAGTAAGGGGAATTTAAAAATTAGATCTTTTTTCAGGAAGTGTTAGGGAGGAAGTGTAAACGGTTATTGAAATTGCTTATTTATTTCAAGAACACAAAATATCATAAAACAATAAAACAGTAGTGCTCCTTTAAGCATGAATGCTTTACTGATTCCCAATAATTCTCAAGTGGCTTGCAGAAAGATGCAGATACATTCTGTATACAAGTGTTTCTTCTTTACAGCAGTTACTAGTAGACAGATTGTTGCAAATCGACAATATACGGCTTAGAGTTTCACCCCTTAAGGACATAGTTTCAGAAATAAAAGGGAATCATGACGGAATATTTCCGTAATTTGTCTTTAAGAGGTTAAAAGCTACCTAGCAAACAAATCTAGGATAATATTCACATGTTCCCTGATAAACGTCTTCTAAAAACTCAGCATTTATGCTTAAATTAAAATACTCAGCACCTAGCCATCAACACAAGGTGTTCTTTGTTTAACTGCTACCTCGGACCGTATCCTCAGTTAGTTCTACAATCCCACTGCCACCATCATAGTAACCTATTACACTTTTTTTTTAATCAAGAATGTACCAGGAAAGAGAACTAAACTTAGATCTGAAAGGGAGGTGACGCTCTTTCAAGATCTCAGTGTTCTACAGGGCTTCAACAATGTATCTGCATCCCCTCAAGCCAATTAGTAATCTATACAGCATTCATATTCTCTGATGTTTTGCATTCTTGAAATAAATAAAGTAAGTTATTTACTTAGTTTCCTTACAGCGATCTACACTTCTAAGGTGTGGATCACATTTTTAGTTTTTCTCATCCTTCAATGTGACAGTATTTCCCCTATTGAGAAATCTAGACTCATGGGGAGTGTACTACGTTTTGTTTTGATACCTTGCAGAGATTTTCAGCTGAAAGGATTAAAACGTAAAACAGTTTTTCAGTGACATTTTGTGGCTGTTTGCAGTTGTAAATAGCAAAAAAATGGTTAAAATGTCCTATATGGCTTAGTGAATGAACATGAAACTAATACATTGCATTGACCTTCAGAGTTAACTGGCAAATACACTTACCTGAAATGTTGGACATCATATAAGCAGATGCACAGAAGTAACCAGATGGGCAAGTCACACTGGTCCCTGTGCAGGTTGTGACACCAGTTCCTGTACATGATACACATTGAAGACTGGAAGCCACTAGAACAGATATACATGTGTCATATCATAAGATGCATGTATAAAATATACACAATAAACAACATTATAACTTGTTACAATATATTCTTATTAAAATCTCCCATCTCTTATGTTGCCTTGACCAAGAAAGTGCCAGATTATACGTGCATAGGTGAGTTTTGGAGCCTTTTGGGTGAGAGTTTTAGTTACTTTTTTGGGAATTGGTCATTTACAGTTTCAAGGTGCTTGGAACTACTGCCCTTTGCAGTCTTAGGACCCATAATCTCAGGACAACACTGGGGCATGTCCAATCTGCCCAAGATTAATAGGAATTACGTAGCTCCAAACATTAGGAGACATGGAATCAGGTTTTTTGTTAAATTGCATTGGGTCTTCCTTATGGTTATTATTATTATTATTATTATTATTATTATTGGCATTTATATATTGGCAACAGATTCTGTACCACTTTACAATATTATTAGAGGGGGAGATTTAACTATAAATAGGACAATTACAAAAAGATTTACAGGAACGATAGATTGAAGAGGAATCTGCTCAAACAAGCTAACAGTCTATAGGAGGAGGGGTATAAAACAATACAAGGGTAATCCATATGTGAAAGCCTTGCTCACTGTGTCTAAGAGGGTATAAGTTATGCCTCACTCACAAAGACTATCATCGCTGAAACAATTATTTGGAGGTTTATATTTCTTGGGTAGAGGGAGCCAGACAGAATTCCATATCTGGACCGCTCTTTAGGGTGAGATCAGTCTGATATGCAAATTGTTTATGTTTTCAATTATTATTGGTTTTGTAAATGTGTGATGCATTTCTCTTTCATGTTGTGAAGTTTTTCAAATATTCTGTTGTTTCTCCCCACTCAAAAACATGGCCCTTTGACACCTTGGTATTTCGCAGTTTATATAAGGACAAACATAACAAGAAATGCTAAACACTTTGCATAGCATGTAAAATATGCATGTAAGATAAGCTGAATCATTAAAAATCATTAAGAAAAATATAAAAAGCTTGAGAGCATGATATTTTTGAGAGCATGATATTTTTGAAATAGTCATATGCATATCTGTCGCGGGACAAACAAATAATTTTTTTTTTTAGGATAGCCAAATACGCACTCTAAGAAAAGTATAAATGATAAAAAGAATTAAAGAACGGCTTATATGATAACAGAAGCAAATACATAAACTAAACGAAATGAAAATGCAATAACTATAACATATAATAGATTTGCGCATACATAAAAAAGCAGTATATAAGTACTTTACAGATAAAAAGTTAATTACAAAAATAATAATGTTATTTGATATTATAATATTGTAAGGATGGATATTTCTTATACTCTCATATGATAAACATATATCCATGAATATGTTGGGTTCCATTTGTTTAGGAATAAATATACCAGCAAGAGTCAAACAAATGTTAATCTCCTTGTCTAGGAAATCCAATCTAACAATTTCCTTGTTTTAACAACAACACTCAAGTGCATATCAAAGCGTCATCAATGCAGATTGTATCCTAAACTCACCTATTACAGAAAAAGACAATAAAATGACAACACTATGATTTACTTTTCTAAGGTTTGAGTAAAAAATGAAATGCCTAAACTTTGTTAAAATAGTAATATCAATATTTACCTTTTGCCAAAGCAGGAAAGATAATCAGAAATTTTAAGAAAAAGCCCATTATCAGAAGACGACAAAGTTTATACAAATTTCTAGAGTAGTAGACGTACGATGTAGATCGTTAACTGTAGATAGAATTTTGCTCTCTAACAGGAAAGAGTCTTTGCTGACTCTGGTGCTGAGTAGATATAGTTTTCTACCAGCACTTACATTTGTCTTATATACTATGTCATTTTACTATTACAAAATTTGATTGACATAAAAAAAGAAGAACAAAACACAAAGGGTGGGTCAATGGGTTAGGTACATCACAAGAGGCACTGTTAAATCCTGTAAGAATGAATTTGCATTCTAATATTTTTTACTGAAACTTCCTCATTCTTTCCCAAAACTGGTAAAAAGCTGTTATTTTGGCCAATACCCATTAATGGAATATTTTACAGACCTAAAACCTTGCTGACATGCTTTATGTGTCTGGATTCTGTCGTGACAGTTTGTGAAAGGGACATTCTTAATAGAAATTGGCATTTATATCATCGAGGGATGAAACATCACCCAGATGTCACTCAGACAGAGCTAATGGAGCGACAGGTAAGCTGTGCTACAGGAAATATTATCTAAGTCACCTGTGCATTCAGTTGGACCACTCTGGCCTTAAATTTTAAATTCACTTTGACTTATCTCATGTAAATTATCCTGTTAAGCTTTTCGTAATATTCTACCATTATTCCCATTGGTGAAAAAAAGTTTAACTTTAGGGTTCCCTAAAAAAAAATCAGAATGAATAGAAGAAACAAAGTTGCAATTTCAGAAGATAAATTATTGTATAGGCATTCTTAATGGCACAGTGTAACCCCGAACCAGGACACAGAGTTTACATTAGTTAAATGCTCAGTAGCTAGAGATTTAGCAGATGAATTGGATCTCTGGCAAGTACGGAGGTTACACTGCCTGTTACAACAGTTTTACAGTCTATGTGCTTAGTGTATATGCCAACAAAAAAGATCGGGCAATTTGTAAAAGTTTGTAAAAAAATAAATCTTTTGTCCACACAGGATGATCTTAGAGCTTGCACTTTTCAGATGCGCCAAGAGATCTATAGATTTGATGATGGCCCCAGCTCCACAGGCTTGGGCCTGTGTAAGTTTATTCATGTTTTGTATTGTATGTGAAACCATTATAACATTTAGCAACTGTAATAGCCATTCTGCTAGCATCTGTTTATTTATTATAGTTATATTAAATATACATTTAATATTACAACGTTTTGTGTTTTTTCTATCCACATATTTGACCATAATACCATGAACTATAAAAAATATTAATGTTGTTACTTATTGCTTAATTATTATATATTAATTAAAAGATTAATATTCATATTTAAGTCACGGCCACAACAGTCAGAATACCTCACTTTGCAGCAGTTTTGATTCCAAAGATTGTTGATACTTTAGTATTAAGAAAAATCCAAGTTAGTTGCTCCCATGTCAAGGAACTCTCAAGAAAATCAACACAATTAATCTAACATATAATAGATTTGCACATACATAAAAAAGCAGTATATAAGTACTTTACAGATAAAAAGTTAATTACAAAAATAATAATGTTATTTGATATTATAATATTGTAAGGATGGATATTTCTTATACTCTCATATGATAAACATATATCCATGAATATGTTGGGTTCCATTTGTTTAGGAATAAATATACCAGCAAGAGTCAAAAAAATGTTAATCTCCTTGTCTAGGAAATCTAATGTAACAATTTCCTTGTTTTAACAACAACACTCAAGTGCATATCAAAGCGTCATCAATGCAGATTGTATCCTAAACTCACCTATTACAGAAAAAGACAATAAAATGACAACACTATGATTTACTTTTCTAAGGTTTGAGTAAAAAATGAAATGCCGAAACTTTGTTAAAATAGTAATATCAATATTTACCTTTTGCCAAAGCAGGAAAGATAATCAGAAATTTCAGGAAAAAGCCCATCATCAGAAGACGACAAAGTTTATACAAATTTCTAGAGTAGTAGACGTACGATGTAGATCGTTAACTGTAGATAGAATTTTGCTCTCTAATAGGAAAGAGTCTTTGCCCTGACTCTGGTGCTGAGTAGATATAGTTTTCTACCAGCACTTACATTTGTCTTATATACTATGTCATTTTACTATTACAAAATTTGATTGACATAAAAAAAGAAGAACAAACACGAAGTGTGGGTCAATGGGTTAGGTACATCACAAGAGCAAAAGGGCCTAAAGGCCCTGTTAAATCCTGTAAGAATGAATTTGCATTCTAATATTTTTTACTGAAACTTCCTCATTCTTTCCCAAAACTGGTAAAAAGATGTTATTTTGGCCAATACCCATTAATGGAATGTTTTACAGACCTAAAACCTTGCTGACATGCTTTATGTGTCTGGATTCTGTTGTGACAGTTTGTGAAAGGGACATTCTTAATAGAAATTGGCATTTATATCATTGAGGCATGAAACATCACCCAGATGTCACTCAGACAGAGCTAATGGAGCGACAGGTAAGCTGTGCTACTGGAAATATTATCTAAGTCACCTGTGCATTCAGTTGGACCACTCTGGCCTTAAATTTTAAATTCACTTTGACTTATCTCATGTAAATGATCCTGTTAAGCTTTTTGTAATATTCTACCATTATTCCCATTGGTAAAAAAAAGTTTAACTTTAGGGTTCCCTAAAAAAAATCAGAATGAATAGAAGAAACAAAGTTGCAATTTCAGAAGATAAATTATTGTATAGGCATTCTTAATGGCACAGTGTAACCCCGAACCAGGACACAGAGTTTACATTAGTTAAATGCTCAGTAGCTAGAGATTTAGCAGATGAATTGGATCTCTGGCAAGTACGGAGGTTACACTGCCTGTTACAACAGTTTTACAGTCTATGTGCTTAGTGTATATGCCAACAAAAAAGATCGGGCAATTTGTAAAAGTTTGTAAAAAAAAAAAATCTTTTGTCCACACAGGATGATCTTAGAGCTTGCACTTTTCAGATGCGCCAAGAGATCTATAGATTTGATGATGGCCCCAGCTCCACAGGCTTGGGCCTGTGTAAGTTTATTCATGTTTTGTATTGTATGTGAAACCGCTATAACATTTAGCAACTGTTATAGCCTTTTGTAAGCCATTCTGCTAGCATCTGTTTATTTATTATAGTTATATTAAATATACATTTAATATTACAATGTTTTGTGTTTTTTCTATCCACATATTTGACCATAATACCATGAACTATAAAAAATATTAATGTTGTTACTTATTGCTTAATTATTATATATTAATTAAAAGATTAATATTCATATTTAAGTCACGGCCACAACAGTCAGAATACCTCACTTTGCAGCAGTTTTGATTCCAAAGATTGTTGATACTTTAGTATTAAGAAAAATCCAAGTTAGTTGCTCCCGTGTCAAGGAACTCTCAAGAAAATCAACACAATTAATCTAACATATAATAGATTTGCACATACATAAAAAAAGCAGTATATAAGTACTTTACAGATAAAAAGTTAATTACAAAAATAATAATGTTATTTGATATTATAATATTGTAAGGATGGATATTTCTTATACTCTCATATGATAAACATATATCCATGAATATGTTGGGTTCCATTTGTTTAGGAATAAATATACCAGCAAGAGTCAAAAAAATGTTAATCTCCTTGTCTAGGAAATCTAATGTAACAATTTCCTTGTTTTAACAACAACACTCAAGTGCATATCAAAGCGTCATCAATGCAGATTGTATCCTAAACTCATCTATTACAGAAAAAGACAATAAAATGACAACACTATGATTTACTTTTCTAAGGTTTGAGTAAAAAATGAAATGCCGAAACTTTGTTAAAATAGTAATATCAATATTTACCTTTTGCCAAAGCAGGAAAGATAATCAGAAATTTCAGGAAAAAGCCCATGATCAGAAGACGACAAAGTTTATACAAATTTCTAGAGTAGTAGACGTACGATGTAGATCGTTAACTGTAGATAGAATTTTGCTCTCTAATAGTCTTTGCTGACTCTGGTGCTGAGTAGATATAGTTTTCTACCAGCACTTACATTTGCCTTAAATACTATGTCATTTTACTATTACAACAAAGACGAAGACTAACAAAACACAAAGTGTGGGTCAGTGGGTTAGGTACATCACAAGAGCAAAAGGGCCTAAAGGCCCTGGTAAATCCTGTAAGAATGAATTTGCATTCTAATATTTTTTACTGAAACTTCCTCATTCTTTCCCAAAACTGGCAAAAAGCTGTTATTTTGGCCAGTACCCATTAATGGAATATTTCACAGACCTAAAACCTTGCTGACATGCTTTATGTGTCTGGATTCTGTCGTGACAGTTTGTGAAAGGGACATTTTTAATAGAAATTGGCATTTATATCATTGAGGCATGAAACATCACCCAGATGTCACTCAGACAGAGCTAATGGAGCGACAGGTAAGCTGTGCTACAGGAAATATTATCTAAGTCACCTGTGCATTCAGTTGGACCACTCTGGCCTTAAATTTTAAATTCACTTTGACTTATCTCATGTAAATTATCCTGTTAAGCTTTTTGTAATATTCTACCATTATTCCCATTGGTAAAAAAAAGTTTAACTTTAGGGTTCCCTAAAAAAAAAAATCAGAATGAATAGAAGAAACAAAGTTGCAATTTCAGAAGATAAATTATTTTATAGGCATTCTTAGTGGCACAGTGTAACCCCGAACCAGGACACAGAGTTTACATTAGTTAAATGCTCAGTAGCTAGAGATTTAGCAGATGAATTGGATCTCTGGCAAGTACGGAGGTTACACTGCCTGTTACAACAGTTTTACAGTCTATGTGCTTAGTGTATATGCCAACAAAAAAGATCGGGCAATTTGTAAAAGTTTGTAAAAAAAAAAATCTTTTGTCCACACAGGATGATCTTAGAGCTTGCACTTTTCAGATGCGCCAAGAGATCTATAGATTTGATGATGGCCCCAGCTCCACAGGCTTGGGCCTGTGTAAGTTTATTCATGTTTTGTATTGTATGTGAAACCATTATAACATTTAGCAACTGTAATAGCCATTCTGCTAGCATCTGTTTATTTATTATAGTTATATTAAATATACATTTAATATTACAACGTTTTGTGTATTTTCTATCCACATATTTGACCATAATACCATGAACTATAAAAAATATTAATGTTGTTACTTATTGCTTAATTATTATATATTAATTGAAAGATTAATATTCATATTTAAGTCACGGCCACAACAGTCAGAATACCTCACTTTGCAGCAGTTTTGATTCCAAAGATTGTTGATACTTTAGTATTAAGAAAAATCCAAGTTAGTTGCTCCCATGTCAAGGAACTCTTAAGAAAATCAACGCAATTAATCTAACATATAAAAGATTTGCACATACATAAAAATGCAGTACATAAGTACTTTACGGATAAAAAGTTAATTACAAAAATAATAATGTTATTTGATGTTATAAAATTGTAAAGATGGATATTTCTTATGCTCTCATGTGAGAGACATATATCCATGAATATGTTGGGTTCAAATATATTTGTTTAGGAATAAATATACCAGCAAGAGTCAAAAATTTTTAATCTCCTTGTCTAGGAAATCTAATCTAACAATTTCCTTGTTTTAACAAAAACATTCAAGTGCATATCAAAGCGTCATCAATGTAGATTGTAGCCTAAACTTACGTATTACAGAAAAAGACAATAAAATGACAACACTATGATTTACTTTTCTAAGGATTGAGTAAAAAATGAAATGCCTAAACTTTGTTAAAATAGTAATATCAATATTTACCTTTTGCCAAAGCAGAAAAGATAATCAGAAATTTTAAGAAAAAGCCCATGATTAGAAGACGACAAAGTTTATAAAAATTTCTAGAGTAGTAGACGTACGATGTAGATCGTTAACTGTAGATAGAATTTTGCTCTCTAATAGGAAAGAGTCTTTGCTGACTCTGGTGCTGAGTAGATATAGTTTTCTACCAGCACTTACATTTGTCTTATATACTATGTCATTTTACTATTACAACAAAGACGAAGACTAACAAAACACAAAGTGTGGGTCAGTGGGTTAGGTACATCACAAGAGCAAAAGGGCCTAAAGGCACTGTTAAATTCTGTAAGAATGAATTTGCATTCTAATATTTTTTACTGAAACTTCCTCATTCTTTCCCAAAACTGATAAAAAGCTGTTATTTTGGCCAATACCCATTAATGGAATGTTTTACAGACCTAAAACCTTGCTGACATGCTTTATGTGTCTGGATTCTGTTGTGACAGTTTGTGAAAGGGGCATTTTGAATAGAAATTGGCATTTATATCATTGAGGGATGAAACATCACCCAGATTGTCACTCAGACAGAGCTAATGGTAAGCTGTGCTACTGGAAATATTATCTAAGTAACCTGTATTAATATTACAACGTTTTGTGTTTTTTCTATCCACATATTTGACCATAATACCATGAACTATAAAAAATATTAATGTTGTTACTTATTGCTTCATTATTATATATTAATTAAAATATTAATATTCATATTTAAGTCACGGCCACAACATATGGCGATGAAGATGGGATTATGCTTGAATATTGGGGAAAATATTAATGTTATGCATTTTGCTTAAATCATAAAGTAAATTGTCTGTCTGTATAGAAATGAATAAATTGTAATGGAATGAATGCAGATAGCAGATAGGGATTATATATTTGTTTTTAAGGTATCTCTTGCTGTAGAAGATAGTTATGAATTATTAAGTTGCTTGTTACGTTTTAACAATCTTTGGTCATTTATTTTATATATAAAAAAAACCTACCGTATATACTCGAGTGTAAGCTGAGTTTTTCGGCACATTTTTTGTGTTGAAAAAGCCCCACTCGGCTTATACTCGAGTCAGTGTCTGTATTATGGCAATTTACATTGCCATAATACAGACCAGAACCGCCGGGCTCATTACAAGTCTGGCGGTCCTGTTGGGGGCCGGCAGGAAGCGTTTACTTACCTTTTATAGCAGCTCCGGTCAGCTCCAGTCTGCTCCGTGCAGCTCCCCCATTCAGCTCCCAGTGTAAGTCTCGCGAGACCCGCAGGCGTCAGAGCGTTGCCATGGTAACCTGAAAGAGTAACAGCTCGCTCCTGCCCCCTCCCGCATAGTACACACCACTGGACCACCAGGGATTTACATAGCCCCCCTCCCTGGCCTGGCAACAAGCAGGGAGGAGGGACAAAAAATAAACAATGAAATATTAAAATTATCAAAACAATATTAAAATAAAATAAAAATAGTATTAAAATAAAATTAAAATAATATTAAAAATAATAAAAATGCCATCACCCCACCCAGTTTACACACTACACAAACACACACACACACTCTGCATTCACACAAACACACACACACACACACACACACACTCTGCATTATATACACACACACACACAGAGTGTGTGTGTATATAATGCAGAGTGTGTGTGTATATAATGCAGAGTGTGTGTGTGTGTGTGTATAATGCAGTGTGTGGGTGTATATAATGCAGAGTGCATTATATACACACACACACACTCATACAAACACACACTCTGCATTATATACACACACACACACACTACATTATACACACAGACTGCATTCATACAAACACGCACTGCATTCATTATATATACACACACACTGCATTCACATAAATACACACACTCTGCATTCATTCTATACACACAAACACAAACACACACACACACAAACTGCATTCATTATATATGCACACTGAAAATAAATATTCAATTAATGTAATTTTATTGGGATCTAATTTTATTTAGAAATTTACCAGTAGCTGCTGCATTTCACTCCCTAGGCTTATTCTCGAGTCAATAAGTTTTCCCAGTTTTTTGTGGTAGAATTAGGGGCCTCGGCTTTAATTCGGGTCAAATTATACTCGAGTATATACGGGGTATTTTACTTTTTGTCTGACCACGTGGGTTTCAATCCACCATTGACAACATGGTGTGAATGGGTTGAGGCCTCGTTTCATTGTTTGCTATCATTTGCATAGGAAAAGACTTTTCACTAAACCTGTTCACCAGGTTTTTATTGCTGGTTCTTTGACCCTGTTTGTTTGTGTACTAATTTACGTTTGTTTGGCATTCAAGGATTTTTTTAGTTGAAAAGATATTTAAACTAAACTGATTAAACTGTTAGTGTTCTAAGAAAAAAGATACATTTAGTAAAGCAGATTCTGTGAATAATGTATGTGTGCGTATACATAGAATATTTCTCTCTCTCTCTCTCTCTCTCTCTCTCTCTCTCTCTCTCTCTCATATATATATATGGGATTTTGACTCATGAAGGAAAGACCACCTTTTAAACAGCTGTGTAAAAAATGTAGTGTACATCCTAGTTAAAACAGTGAAGCGCATGTTTGGAGGATGGATGGTGATGTAAGAGACCATCCTTTTCAACTACAGCTGGGGGAGAATTTGTCCTTGTTTGGGGGGGCATTCTTACCTGTATGAGAAAATAAACTACATAGTAAAGGATGCATTGTTCTTGTAAATGTAATTGCCTAAACTAATCAATTTGTGTAGTGTTTTTCAGCTTTCATATCCAGGACTAAGGAATTACAGGACATATGTTCAGGAACTGGTAAAAATTAAAAAAAGAAAATAATGGTAAAATAATTCATTTTTGTCCTATTTGGTCTGGTTAGAATATTTTAACAAGTTAGCATTTTTAACAAAGTGTATGGGCTCAGATTGAGATTTATATTTTTTTAGAAGCCATCTATATAACTGATTTTAATATTTCCATTCTATGAATATATGTGTCTGGAGAAGGGGGAGCATACCCAATCGTTGTTGTGCAGTTCTATCCTGTATTTAAATCCTGTATTACTTATAAGTAGCCTTTTGTAATTTATTAGTAATAGTTTATATATATATTGCTCTGGGAAAGGGATATGTTAAATCTCTGAGAGACCAGGAAATATGTAAAATAAGGACGTATTACACTAGTGGTAGGGTGGCCTATCATGACCATAGACCCTTGGTGACTAGTTTAAGTTGTATATTGCCCTGGGAAGGGGATAAGCTATTTAATAGAAATTCCTGAGAGACCAGGAAATATACAATAAGTGATACGTGAGTGTACTGATTAAATTGCAGACATATTGGCCCAGAACCTTTAATCGAGCCAGAAAAGAGGTTGTTGTATGTTTGCTCCTCTATAATTTTGAGGGGGCAGTCACCCCCATGCGGAAAGCCATTGCCACCACAGAGTGGATAGTTGTGCAGGCCCTTAGGCGCGAGGTGCAGACATGTCCGTGGAAAGGCTAAAAATTAATAGGAGATCACTCATAGCTGTCAGAAGTGTTGAACTTTGAGACCTATAGTCTTTCATCAGAGGCAGAAGAGGTGTTGTGGTTCATTCCTCTATAATTTATCCAAAGGGTGGAGAGTTATTAAACATGTTTAAGTTGGCTAGAAATTTGTTTTGTGTACTCCTTAATTGCAAAGAAGATACAGAAAGCAGCTATTAGCTGATTGTTTATTTTAAGAGCCGTGTAGAAAATGAAGAAAGTTACCTTACATAGTTACATAGTTACATAGCTGAAAAGAGACTTGCGTCCATCAAGTTCAGCCTTCCTCATATTTGTGTTTTGCGGTTGATACAAAAGAAGGCAAAAAAAAAACCCAGCCTGAAGCGCTTGTTGAACAAATTGTTTATAAAATGAAAACTTGAAGGAATGTATTGCTAGGTAAAAGATTTGGCAGTATACGCTATAAGTGACTAGGGAAAGTAATCCTGATCTGTTTTCATACCTTTTCAGATTAAGCAGTAACCAGGGGTGGAAATTGGAACACGGATAGAATACCAGATGGAGACCAGTGTTTAAATGTTGACCTTGGATTAGCTATTGAATGTGTTTAATTTTATTGTGTCTATTTAACGTGTCTATGCTATGATTTTGTGCGTACTATTCTCTTATTTTTAATGATTGTATTGCAATCGAAAACCTTATGTATTATTGCTGTATGTATGCAGGGCCGGCGCTACCTGTTAGGCGGAATAGTGTGCACTTCCTGTTAGTCCGGCCGGGTACAGGAAACAAAAGCTACCTGTACCCGCAGACCATGATACAGGGCTCGGCCACGCTACAGTGAGGGAGTGACAGGAGGGAGCGCTGAGTGCTTCCCTCCTGTCAGCCCCTCTCCTCAGGCTGCGCCTGGGCGGTGCGGTCCGCCCTCGTGGACGCACCGCCCGGGCCACGCTACAACAATGGTAGGGAAGGGGGGGGGAATTGACAGGAAAGAGGGGTGGAATAAGGGGGGGTGGAATTGACAGGAAAGGGGGTTGAATTGAAAGGAAGGGGGGGTTGGAACTGACAGGAAGGGGAATTGACAGGGAAGGGCGGAGAATTGACAGGAAGGGGGAATAAATTGACAGGAAGGGGATAAATTGATGGGGAATAAATTGACAGGGGGGTTTAAATTGAAAGGGAGGGTGGGGGAAAAAATTGACAGGGAGGGGAATTGACGGGAGGGGAGGGGTGAGAAGAGAGGACAAGGGAGGGGGAGAAGAGAGTGACAAGGAGGGGAGAAGAGAGTGACAGAGGGGGGGGAGAAGAGAGGGACAAGGGAGGGGGGAGAAGAGAGGGACAAGGGGGTGAGAAGAGAGTGACAAGGGAGGGAGAGGGGGAAGAAGAGATTGACATCCATCACATACACACACAATGCACCCCTTACACACAAAGACAATGCACCCCTTGCACACAGAAAAACACACAATGCATTACACACACAGACACACACACAAGCAATGCAACCCTTACACACAATGCATCCCTTACACACAGAAACACACAATGCACCCTTACACACACTCAATGCACCACTTACAGACGAACACACTGCATCCTGTACATACACAGAAACACACCTTGCAGCATTTACACATACAAACACAGATTCCC